TCACAATATTTGTTATTTAAAAAAAGGTTAGTCTTTCGGGAAAACGCTTGGACAAGCATAATTTATTTGTTTTTTTTTACATATTTTGAAATTTTTTAAAAAATCATACAGGGTGTTCCAAAAAGTTGGGTAATTTCTTAACCACGATTCAGCTTAAACTGCTTGACGTAAAAAGCTTATTTTTGGCGAACGGATTTTTCGAAAGTCAAATTCCAACGAGATGAAACTACCCCTCAAATATTACCAAGTTATATAATAATATCGCCATATTGTTTTTTCTCATGCTAACATAAATGTGAGAAAATTTTATCCAGTTTAATGGAAATTCCTGCTTTGCTTTATCATCACCATTACAAATGATTAATTCGACGCGAACGAAGTCGCTGGTACACACTAGTATATTATAAACAAGAGCAATATCACAGGCAATATATCAAACAGAAAACTCGGTAGGTATGAATGTTTATTTTTCAGAACACAGGGTCACCCTGTAATCTATAAAAAATACAAACGAAACCAGTTATCGATTTGAAAATAGAAGTGTATTTCCTGATAAAATAACGCATACCTAATAATTTCAGTTATTTAGATCGTCTGTGTTCAAGTTATTCTGTGCATCTCTTAAAAATCTGTGTACAGGGTGGCTCGAATTCGACGCTCATCATTGGGATTTCGGAAACCGTAATACAGAATCGGTTAAATGGAGACAAAGTTGCGCAATTTGATGTTCAATAAAATGCCGTATTGCATTTTGAAAAATTCCGAATACTTCCGAATATATTCGAAAAAAAACCGGAATTTTCAATTTTGTTTTCTATTGTTTCCTGGCTTTATTTGTTAAGATAACTTAAAACGAAAAACACATTTTCATGGCCACTTTTTCTGCCCTATAACTCTGTGTGATTAAATATTGACCATCATCAACTTAATTATTTTAAATACGGACTTGATTTTTTTTTCAATTTAATTAAATCCTTTCATCGGTCTTAAAACACTATACAGAGAAGACCAGGCTACTAGTAACATAGCAAGTTGCCGGACGAATTTACGTTTACCCGTTTTGCGTTCGTACTCGCGATTGCCGGCTAGTCGGCTGGTCAGGCAGTACGCAGTTGCAGTTATGCTTGGACGGGTCGGTCGTGACAGACTAAGAATACGACGCGAGGAGCAGGGTTCGGAAGTAGTTAACTAAGACGTAGGTAATTTACCTGATTAACTACGTGTAGTTTTTCTTCAAAAACTACGTCTTTTCCCGTTCATTAACTACATGAAAACTACGTTAATAAACTATGTATTGATATTATGAATATTTTTCCTTTGTATGAGGTGTAATAGAGATAATATGATGTACATATTATATTTAAAGCCATATTTCTTCTGTTTTCTTAAATACATTATGTGTTTTTAAAGCTTCAACTTATTATAACCTCACCTCAAACCTTTGACATTTGAAAGTTACATACATAGGTTACATAAACTACATTAACTACATGTGATGTAGTTTATGTAGTTTTTAAAAGTAACATGTAGTTTTCCGAACCCTGGCGAGGAGTGCCGAGTATTTATTATTTTCATTTTAAGTGTTTACCTTAAAATGAAAGTATAAATGTCATTCTAAGGATCTCCCCTGTAGATCGTAGATCTAAGCTAGACAATATCCCTAGATAAGCTTTTCAATGTCGGTCCCATGGCATGATGAAACTAAACATTAAAATTAGCTCGAAACACAAAAAATAAGTTAATTTTGCTAATTACATTGTTCTTTCTACCTATGGAGGACACAACAAAAATCAAATTTAAACTAAATCTATTTTTTCCAAGGAGACCTTCAAAAATAAAAACAAACTTTGATCGGTCTTGGTATATTTTTGAAAAAAAATGTATGAATGATTCACATAACTCATTTTAACTCAATTTAGCCTCAGGTATTCAACTACATATTTTTTTAAGTTGGATAAATTCCAACAATTTGGACATTTATTAGTAAACAGTTATAAATTCAATAATTATTTGGACGATAAGAGACTTAACCCCTGGAAAATTTATTATTTTTTTACACAATGTATGTTTGTTACACTTTTAATAAAATAACGTTAAAAGCAAAACAAAAGGCAAGAGATGTATTAAAAATTCGGGTAGTTTAAAATTCGAGAAAAAAATATTTTTTTGGAAATACATTTGTGTGTCTGGAAACGCTCTATTCATTTTTTTATCATTTTAGAGATTGACCTCGCCCAAATTATCATCGATTGTTATTCCCAAGCCTTAGACGCCTTTTTTTCGATCTTGCGGTATTTTTTTCGATCTTACGGTATTTTTTTCGATCATACGGTATCTGTCATTATTGTCACCAAATTAACAAGCACAAAAAGCCTGTTTTTTTTAGTTCGTTTGTCAATTGTATACCGGGTGCGCCTCAAAAGTGGCTCACCCCTATAACTTTTCATCTTTTTTTTTTCAAATGTCATCTTTTGACATTTTGACATATTTATGGTTTATTTGAAATTGTAACATGCGGTTTATAACGACAATTTGACTCCAAATACCAAGTGTGTGGTACCAAATTATTCGTAAAAAAATGCTTTTTCCAAATATGCTAATGAGCCACCCTCGTTCCATTTGAAAAAATTGAGATATGATTAAAAATACGATTTGGGCATCTTTTAACCGGCCACGACAAGCGACACTAAAAACACTAGACGATCAAATCTATTTTTCCAAGGCTCCTTGATTAAAAATTAGTGTTTTTAGCACAGCCATGGCACTCTAGACTGAAATTTAAAATAGAATTTGTTTTTAAGTGACTATGTCAAAAATTGACATATGATATGTCATTCGATTCAGAGTGTCATTTTCTATCGAATAAAGTAAAAAAATACCGAGGGTGCCATTTAAAAATCAAAAGTCGTAGTCATTTCCGGTGAAACCGGAAGTGACCGAAAACAATTGAATACGTCAATCAATCCCAATTTATGTCATATACTAACATACCAAATCTCGTTGTTTTTTCTGAAAAAATAAAAAAGTTATAGGGGTGAGCCACTTTTGAGACGCACCCGGTATTATGTTTTTTTAACCAAAAATTAAAAAAAAAATCCAGACATTTTTCAAAAAGTTCCAAATTGTTTTTGCCGAAAAAAATCATAGACGTGTTTCTGGGGGGTCGAAATATACTATCCCTAAAACATTTGCACTTGTTATGTTTTTTAAGGTAACATAATTTTAAATTTATTGAACTGAATTGACGCACATTTCGTCGGACAATAATGTTGAATGACGATGAATATCGTCATAACGATGGACGATCTGGTAAAAATTCAAAAAGAAACATAACTTACCATGGAAAATAGCATAAAATACTTATTCAACTTCTTATACAGCTCGTTATTTTTGCAATTAATCATGTTAATTTGACACAGGATTCTTGCCAATATGTCGCTTCAACATTAAACGAAATTCACTGTATTAACTTCAAAGAGGTAGGTAAAGAAAAAATAGCTGTTCTAAATAAGTTTTAAACGTTTCTGGCATTGGCATTTGAAATATTTACATCTGTTACTAATCGCAAAAGCCATATTCCCAATACTTCCTTATAGCCTATGTCAGATTTATAACTACTGCATAAAATATTATACAGGTTATATCATAAATAACTGCAAGTATTATTATAAAATTAAACTGAAAGAATAAATTTTAAAAATTATTGTAAATTATCTTATCGCCATATAACAAAGAGATTTCAATCAAGTTAAGTGTACAGATGCTTGTACATTGGCAAAACAAAGCGTGCAATAGGCTGGAAGTCGAATTTCTTTAAAGATCTGTATATTTTCCTAAAAAGCTGATATCCTCATAAATTAAAAAACATCGCAAAGAAAACGTTAAAACACGTAAAACCATAAAAATACATTTTACAGTCTAATTTCTCCACAGACCGTTTTTAAAACTAAAAAGTCAGCTTTTGTATACAGGGTGTCGCAGGCTGAACGTGCATTAGAAGTTTCTAGAGAACTACAATATCTAGCTCGGAGATTTTTTGCACATAATAGTTTCACAACGAGATCTATCAAATAAAAATATTTTCAATATGGCGGCACTTCCGGAAATACCGGAAGTTGACAGCAACTTTCTTATTTTAAACGGGTGCCCCCATTTTTTATTATGTAATTAAATTCTCTGTAAAATTTTATGAATTTTGATATTAAACACTCTATATCTAACATTAACCGTTTTTGAGAAAAAAAATATTTAAAATTTTTGAACGAAAAAAACTGGCTGTCAAAAATATGTGTATAGCCTAAACGTCAAATTTAGTGATTACCACAGCCACTGTCCACGGCACTACCACGACAAAAAACGTCCGTTTTTTGTCGTCTACACACAAGATTTTACTTGATACGTTTTGACTGAACAGTTAAAACGTAAGGTAAAACGTTAGGTTGTAGATGAATCTTAAAAACGATTTATCATATTAAGACACCGTGCGTAAATCTACGAATCCCATAAACTAAAAGATAAGCGCTTTTCATAACTGATTATAAATAGAAACTCATTAAATCAAACCACAAATACCTGCAAAAAAATCACACAAACAAAACCGGTGAGAAAATCCAGCAAAAACCTAAAACACAAAGCAGAAAATGACTCACCTAACAGTGTCTGTCCCGAAATATCTCAAAAACGTATACGTGGGAGGGCATAACTCACTATTACTCATCATTTCCATAGGAATTTATACACAGGAGGGTAAAATACAAGCAATTTTGCGATGGGGTGGTGGATTTAAGCCATCCCGAAGCCTTGAATTTCGTTTAAGGCATATTTTTCATTTTTTCTTTACTTGTTTCTGTTTCTGGAACAACGAGATGGCTTGAAACGCCACCCCAGCACTATATGTTCGTTCATTATTTATCTCTTTTTAGTCACATAAACACAATTCGGTTATACGATCAAGCAGATTTTCTAGTGTTATTGCACAACAATCGACGAAGCTTCCTTACATTGCTCTTCGCTTGGAGATAGGTTTTGGAATCTTCTTTCCCGTTGTCTAAGTCGATTGACCTCGACCGTTCTCTCACACCGCTCAAGTAATTCTCAATGCGTTTCTCTCTGTTTTTATTTAAACCCGCCACGTTTGAAAGCATGTGCATTGGTTTGAAATTGTTCACACCCGACTCGTCTATAAGAATATAAGGCACCCTACCCGCCAGCACACCTCTAGCAGCTTCTTTGGGAATCACAGCCTGTAACTGACCCCTGGTAACTAAAACTGGCACGTCCAGTCTCATTCTACGCATGAGATAATCCTCTATGGCCAATAGATTCTGCCTTTTGAGCAACTCTAAAGGTATATCTCTCGAAGTTTTTACAGGATACATCTCCGAAACAAGAATGGCACTTTCTCTGATTAGTTGTCTGATCCTAGGATCGGATTTAGCGCATTCAGGGTTCTTTTTGATTCTACTTATAGCCGTTTTCAAGGAGTAATCTTTTTCGGCTAGCTGCCTGATGATGGTCATTCTTTTTAACATCTCTACGGAAGACTCCTCCAAAGAATTTATTGCGGTTTTTGGTTTGGATAAATTTTCGACCACTTCATCTAATTCCAGAGCTTTAGCAAAACTCAGAGCTTCACTAACAAACTCTAAAACGGTACTCTCTTTTTTACCGAGAAGTTCTTCAAAATTGCTCTCCATCAAGCTACGAACCGTAGCAACTATACTGTCTTGGACAGCTTCCAAAGCAGCTTCCTCCGAAGTAGCGCTCTTCGTTCTGAGCCGAACGTTGGCTGTGAGATCTGAAATTATTTCTGGGCATAGTTTGAGCAATTTAGCGAAGGAGGTGTTCATCACAGTACCGTCTTCTATTATTTTATCAAGATATTTCAAACAATCTGGTAAGGTTAAGTTGTTAGAAGTGAGGTTTTTGAGCATAGCTACTTTCGTATGGGATATATCTTGAGTTAGTTGCTTCAGAACAGCATCGCATACTTCTAAGCGATCTGTCGGGCTGTTTAGAAGCTTATTTAACTCTTCTACTAGTTGAGGATTGTTCTTGAGGGTTTCTCCAACCATATCTACTATAGAATGCAAGGCCAGAACTTGATCTTTAGGTCTATTTTTATAGACATCGTTAGCAGCGACTAGGGCAGACTTAAAAAGGATTTTAAGCTTCTCAGAACACTTGTTGAATTTGATATCTTTGTCTGTGGGTTTGATGTTAACATCCATGTTAATATTTTCGACCCTGATGTTGTTACGATCACGAAAAGCTGCCGTTCTTCGAGTCAGAGCTATCAAAGCTTCGGCTAAGTTTTTAACTTGTAGTTCTGAAGTTGAAGTTATATTTCTCGCTTGTTCTATAGCGTCTTCGTCGTTTACGTACGTCACCAAGTTTAGTTCGTTAGATATGCTAATTTTACGGAGCTCTTCTAGCTTCTTCTTGAGTAGACGTTGTTTTTCTTCTAAGGAATTTACTAAGTCGTTCATACCATCGTCGAGTAAAATCAGTTTAAGCTGTTCCATTTCTTTTCTTTGCTCTTCATGTTTCAATCTGATTGCCTCGATGTCGAGGTTCTCAAATTCTTTAGCTAATTCTGTGTTATCTGAAGATTCGTCGGTGGAAATGTCATCGGAATCTTCGTCTTCAAGCAAATTTGGTTCGTTTTGCACGATAATTTCCACGTCCTCCATGTCATGAGCTCCACTTTCCTTGATTATATCAGCAATAACTTCCTTAAGACTCTCGTCCTTAATGTTGGAGTCTTCTTCGGGAACCACACTAATGATCCTCAGGAGTTTTCTACGGCGTTTTTGCCTTTGTTCTTCTGGTTCAGGTTCTGGACGCTCTTCCGGAGCTGTCGCAAAAGTTAACTGACCCGAAGAAGTGATCGTGGATTGAGTGGGTAAAAATAAAGGATCTTTCTCTTGGTCTCCCATTATAAGACCGTTAACTAAAGTGGGTTTATCATCGATGTTGATGGTTATACCTGGAGCGTATTCGGGTCCAAATTCACTTTCAATTGTTTGGCCAGGTACAAAAACGTCACCTTCTTCGGTATGGACTATTTGGCCACTAACAAAGCACTCTTTCCCTGACGGTAAGGTAACTTTAGCTCCAGTAACCTTTCCATCCACTCCATCAGTCTCAAGCTCAGTCATCGTAGCGTCTCCAAGACCTCTAACGATTTCTGGGATGTCTTTAAGAGTAGGCAAGAGATGGGGTTGTTGTTCCAAAGCCTTATTAACGTTTTTGGTCGCTTCTAAGTCGTGTACCTCCATAGGAATCAGAGATTCAGTCGCTGGAGCTTCAATGTCGTCGATTACTTTCTTAGCGTCTTGCTCGAATTGGTCCCAATCAAACTTTCGCATTATTTGCTTCATCATTTCCTTGAAAGCTTTGGTGCCTTCCCACTTATGCTTCTTACGGCGTTTCATAATACGTTTCAGTTCCTCCTCCCATTTCTCATCCTCGGTCTCTTTGTCTTCGAACAGTTTCGCCAAGCTCATGGTGTATTTTCCGTGATGGTGGAACTTTTCCTCGTCAGCTGATGTAGCACCTTCGCCACAGTGAAGCGGTTCGCCGTTTTGTTCGAAGTACTGTAATTCTAGGGGTACTTTCTTGAAATCTTTAAGTTTAACTAGAATTTTGTCGTTTTTCTGTGATACTAAGACGTCAATGATGTCGCCGTCGCGTAATGCTTGCTCGAAGGCTGATTGGACCACGATATTGTACTTTTTATCCTCGACGGTATAAACGTATGTTCCCCCGGGAGCTTTCTTGCTGTCCAAGATCGATTGGAGTCTTTTTTGAGCGTCGCTTTCACCGTCAATGTTCGGTGTCATGTAGGTAAAATCATCCATCGCTTTGTGTTCTCGTTTACCGTAGTTTTTCGATCTTTTCGAACGTTTCTGTCGATGATTGAGCAGCACAGGGATGTAATGCTGGTACTTTGATCCCAGCAACCATTTCCCGGTGATACGAAGCGTGCGTAAAGCTTCCCTGGGTGTCAGAGGTTTTAGCAGGGGCAGGTAGAAATTTCGCGTAAATATCTTACTGGCCCCGGTAATTTTACAGAAAGAAAGAACGTAATTGACCATTTCGAATTGAAAGTAAGGCTTTATTTATGAAAAAGAATGTTTAAATGAGACACTGAATCGATGTATGGTGGACGCGGCGACAGTGATACAATTTTATTGAGAGAACGATGTATGATCACAACACAGACACAACAGAGAGAGTTCGATCGATATGAATGAGCGAATTTAAGCGGAGTATGAGCGTCGCGGTGCGTCCTGTGTCGACGTCCAAGCGAGACTGAAGCGTCCCGATGCTTTTTTAAGCTCACCTGGACGAAGTCGACGCACTGCCTCGAGAAGTAAAGCTTTATTTTTACTTCAGTAGGTATCGCGCCGTAGTTTACTTAAATTACTTATTCTTAAAGACAACATATATATGAGTATCTTTTTTTTTCTGGGAAGGGTAATGGATATATGGTAATAAAGTAACACAAAACATCATTTTAAGATTTATTTCTTCAAAAAAATACTACATTAAGAAGAAAATGTATTAAATGAATGATCGTTAAATAATAAAATATTCGTGAGAGTAAGTTACATTAAGGCATCCAGTAGCGTAGTCGAGGAAATGTCACCATTACCCAAATTAGTGACCTTTTAGAGTATATTCCAGGAATTTTGGCACGAGATATCAGGTCTTTTAAGAATTTCTGTTACATAAAGTTATCTCGATGACGTTACTGGAGTTTCTTAACGTTTTTTTTTAAATGGCACACACGAATTGATTGAGAAAAAAAAACTGAAAATAAATAAATAAAGAAAAAAAAATAAAATAAAATAGGGGCGTCTTTTCGTGGGACCCGCGCTGGGAATCGTCTAGTTTCTCCGCAGATCGAACTCGTTCGAGTACGCGTTCAGTACGTGCTGGTACTTGAGCATCCGCGTCTGGCTCTTCGCCTTCTCCAGTATCTGCTTCGTTTTGTCGTCGTCGAAGAACGTGCCCTTGCGTATGCTGAGCTCCAGCTCCTCCAGCCGCGCGCTCTTCTGCACCGGCTTGATGGGCTCATACTTGGGCGGCTTCTCGATCTGCATCTCCTTAACTTTTTTACGTACCTCCATGCGCAATTTGGTCACTTTGCTCTCCTCCTTCAACGACTTCTCCTCCATCCGCTCCTTCATTCGCTTCCTCTCGGCCTCGTCGCGTCTCAGCCGTTCCTCCTCCAGCAGCAACAGCGGGTCTTCCAGCGGTTGCCTTTGCGGCCGGAAAGATTCTCGTGGCGGCGTCGGCGGTCTAGGTTGCATGTCGACCAGGGGCGGCCTCTTCTTCACACGTTCCTTGATCAGAGGCTCTTGGGGTTCGTCGAAGGTGCGTCGCTTAATGACGATGTCCTCGTCCCGGATCACCTTCGGTTTCGGCTTGGGCGCGGGAGGGGGACTCGGAGTCAGCTCGCGACGCCTGCGCATCGGAGGCGGACTAGGGGGACGCGGGCGGTCCTCGTCCGTCGCCTCGAATTTCAGCTGGCCTCCTTCGGTGATGGTGGATTCGCCGGGCAAGAACATCGGCTGCGTCTCTTGCTCGCCCATGACTAGACCGGGGATGAGCTCGGGTTCGCCGTCCAGAAGTACCGTCACTCCCGGCACGTACTCGAAGTTGCCCTCTTCTTTCTCCACCGTTTGGCCGGGCATAAACACCTCCCCTTCGTCCGATTTGACCATCTGACCGGGTACGAAACACGATCGATCGGGAATCTGGACTCTGGCGCCGGAGACTTGTGCGAGTTCTTCCATTTCGCCCTGTTCGAGGTTCTTGATAACTTGAGGCACTTCCAGCATGGTGGGCAGCTGAGCGAGCACGTCTTGGCCGGCGGCTTTCAGCTTTTCGTTGACGTGTTTGGTCTTTTCCATGTCGTCCACCGCCATAGGAATGTCTTCCTCTTCGACCTTCTGCTCTTGTTCGTCGACGATTTGTTTAGTGTCTTCTTCGAATTTGTCCCAGTCCATATTCTCTATACATCCGGCTAACATGGCCTTCCAGTCTTGAGCGTCTTCGCCCTTGACCTTCTTCTTGCGCTTGTTGGCCATGCGCATCATTTCTAGTTCCCATTCTTCCACTCCCGACTCTTTAGCTTCGAATAACTTGGCGATGGAGAACGTCTCTTTACCGTGATGATGTTCTTGTTCCACCACTTCTTTGGTCCAACCCGATCCTCGGTACAAAGTGGCACCTTCGTTGAAAGGAGCTACGGGTACAGTGATACGAGCTCCATTGGCGAGTTTCATAACTATCTTTTCACTGCGCAGAGCCATGGTAATATCGACGATATCTCTATCCTTGAGAGCTCGTTCGATGGCATAGTTTACTACCAGATTGCAGTTCTTATCAGGTACTTCGTAGATGTAGGCTTGTCCCTTTCCTCTGGGTTTGGTAGCTAATATTCGGTGAAGTCGATCGTGACCTTCCATGTTATCGTCCAAGAAGGGTTCCACGTAACGCGCGTTTTCGTGCATTCGCAGTTTCTTCTTAACGACGGGAGCGCCTTTGGTTCGACGCCGTTTTTCGGCCACCTTCTCATCGTGAGGCTTGAGTACGGGGATGTAGTGTTCGATTCGGCTGCCCAAGATGTTCTGGCCGGTAATGATCTTGCGTCGAAGAGCATCCTTGGGCGAGAGCGGCTTCAGCAAGGGCAGGTAGTAATTGCGTTGGAAGAGTCGGCTGGCGCGGGTGATCTTGCACAAGGAGATCTTGACGTTGATGGGCATTGTGATGGCGACTGAGTGAGGGGCCGGTCAGCGGGTGGACCCGGCCGGCGCAGGTCCCGGCGACGCCTGCGCACTAAAACACCGACTTCCACACGCGGTGGCGCTGTATCCCCACCGTGTCAAACGTGTTACGATACTGGTACTTTTCCAGCCAATTGACGGGCCAGCTATTGCGCTCGCGTACCAAATACTTCTTATAATCGGTGTCGAAGAATGCGCCCTGCTTAATACTACGCTCCATCTCCCTCAACTTTTCGCTCTTACGTACCGGTTCCAAGGGCTCGTACTTAGGAGGCGGCGGTCTGCTGTCCATAAGGTTTTTAGCTCTCATGCGGATCTCCCTGCGAGTCTTATCTACCTTGGCCTCTTCCTTACCGGTCTTTTCTTTCATGGCGGCCACGCGCTCCTTCTCTTGCTCCAGCAGGTCCTTCTCGAACACCGGCGGTGTAAACTCGATCATCTTGACGGGAACGAAGGGCTTCGGCGCGGGCGGAGGCTCGTTCGCTGCTGCTTGTAGGGCTGCTGGCAACCGTTTGGGACCGCGTTCGCGATGCTTAGGACCCATGCTCTCGACGTCGTACTGTCGCTTCGGACGCTCGTACACGAATTCCTTCCGCTCGCGTTTGGGAGGCGGGCGCATCTCGATCTCCTCCTCCACGCTGTTCTGATCCTCGTCCAGCTCCGCCTCCTCGGGCTCCTCGACGGGAGGCGGCAGGGGTTCGTTAACCAGAACATCATCGGCCGAGGCCGCGAACTGCAGCTCTCCCCCGCCGGTGATAGTGGACTCGCCGGGGAGGAACATGGCCTTGTTGGGATCGTTCCCCATCACAAGGCCGGGAATGAGAGTGGGCTCCCCGTCCATCATGACGGTGAACCCGGGCGTGTACTCCTTCTCTCCCGCCTCCGTCAGCACCGTCTGTCCGGGCACGAACAGCTCACCCTCCTCCGAGGCCACCAGTTGCCCGGGCACGAAGCGGTCGGAACCCGCGTCCAGACTGACGCGCGCACCCGACACCTTGGCCACCTGCGTCAATTCGCTCTGGCCTGAAAGCAGCCGAAGCAGCTGGGGAATCTCGGGCATCGAAGGCAACAAGGCCAGCACGTCGGCTCCGGCGGCTTTTAGTTTCTCGTTCACGTCGCAGGTTAGCTCCATGTCGTCCACTTGCATGGCGATGGGTTCGTCTTCGACCACCTCGTTTACTTCTGTCACGATTTGCTTAGCGTCCTCTTCGAACTCTTCCCAGTCCATGTTTTCCACCGTCGTTTGCAGCATGGCTTTCCAGTCCTGCGTGCCTTCGCCCTTCATTTTCTTCTTGCGCTGGCTGGCCAGTCGCATCATTTCCAGCTCCCATTCCTCGATACCGGCCTCTTTGGCCTCGAACAGTTGCGCTATGGAGAAAGTCTCGTGGCCGTGATGGTGGAATTCTTCGATATCCTTTCTCGTCCAACCTTCTCCTCGGTATAAGGGTGCCCTACCCTCATACGGACAAAGAGGCATGGTTACTTTTGTACCGTCACGCATCTTTACGATAATCTTTTCGTGACGCTGCGCTATTACGATATCAACAATATCTTTGTCTCGGATAGCCCGTTCCATTTGATGGGTTAGTACCAGAGTACATTTTTTCTCTGGGATATGGTAGGTGTAGCATTGTCCCCGGCCTTTCGATTTCCTCGCAACCAAATTCTCTAATTTCGGGTGAGACGGCAACGTGTCGTCGAAGAAAGGCATCACATATTTCATCGATTCCTTTCGCCTTTGTCGTTTCTTACCCCTACCCTTCGGCGCGTGTCTGCGTCGCTGCACTCTGGCAGCGTACTCTTCCAGGACGGGAATCCAGTGCTCCAAAGCCTTTTGCAACACATCTTTACCTAAAAATAACAACTCTACGTTAAAACGACACCTTACATCGAGAAATTTGAGTCGTGCCTGTGATGATGTGCCTCCTGAGCGCGTCTTTGGGCGACAGCGGCTTCAGCAAGGGCAAATAGAAATTCCTTTGGAAGAGTTTGCTGGCCCTGGTGACGCGGCACAGCTGTATCATTACGTTGAACGGCATTTTCGGTCGATTTTCGCGACGACGAGCAGTCTTTGGGGGCTCCGGAGCTCAGTTCGGACGCAACTGGCCGAACAAATGGGCAAAAAAAATAGAAGAAAGGTGGGGAGAAACGATATAAATTATTTTTATGCCTGAATCATCGACATGAAATTAATCAACAGGCGACACGAATTGTTTATCGAATTTTGTTAAGTGTTTTTAAGCAAAAACGTAAAATCAATATGCATTTGAAATATGTCATGTGATGGGGGTGAGGCGTTGAATGAGTCCGTGACCCCGCTGTCACGAGCGGGAACGCCTACTTTTGGCTGGCCAGACTCGCAGCGTGATGGAAAAAGGGGTACTAAAAAAGACTTGAGTCGAGAAACTACGTCCAAAAATCGTCTAGATCTTTTAATTTTAGATTTGAACGAATGATATTTAATTAGAACAAAAGGTCGAGGATGGATAAATCTATTTTCAATAGGGCAAATTAAATAATGATCTCGTTCCGTTGCATGGATCGGCTCAGGAACGATAAAAGGAATGCCATTAACATTTTTACCAAGGCACGATCGTCAAAATGAGTGGCACGACAAATTTCATTCTGCAATAATAATTCCTGTTTACAAACGTTCAGTTACCTACCTAGCTTCAAAAAATAAGACTGCTAACGTTCTTTATACACACATTTATATATAAGTATAATCTAGAGATATGGACTTAGTCCATATCTCTGCTTAAATCCCCTTAAATCACACATGTCGGAAGATAGTCAACCGTTTTTCGCTTTGAACCAAGCTTTCAATCAGTTTTTCAAAGAAATTTAATCGGTTTGAAATATAATACATTATGCAACTAAATATACAGTGATTCTTCTTTTTTATATTCCTGGCAGTACGTATCGCAGGGTATGGCTTGTGCGTACTGTTCAGAAGAATCCCTGACTAGTCAGCACGTTTCTCATTGGTTAAAATGTGTAGAAACCTGATTGTTAGTCAGGTTTCTACGCATTTCAACCAATAAGAGACGCGCTGACTAGTCAGAGATTCTTCTAGGAACAGACCTTAAGATATATTTATAGGATGAAATCTGTAGAAATATCAGAGAAAGATAAATAGAAAATGCGTACCGAAAATGCCAACTCCAGATACTATAGATGATCGGCATTGTTGTTGTTTTTAAAATTTAAATTTCTATAAAGAAGATCTAGATCATATATCAATTTTATATGATTAATATCATAATTTGAATCTATGGTTTATACCATAGAAAATAAGTAGTGCCAATTTTAAATAAACATAACCTTGAAATTTAGAGATTTCCTTCCGGTTTTTGGTGAGGTGAGTTCTCTGTGGATTGTGGAGGTTCTTTGAATCTTTCAAGATTTTTAAAAAAATTATTTGTTTGGTAAACAGTAATGAATCTTGGACACTGTTAGTTTATATTCAAGAAATTCTGCACATTTAATTGACTATGGCGAAGTAAGAAATTTATTTATTTTTCGTTTGCTTAGAAAAGTACCCGAGTACTGTTTTTGTTTGCTTTCCTGTAACCCCTGTAACCCAACGCTTTGTTTTGGCATAGTTGACCATTTTATTTTGTAGTTAGAATAATAATATACTTTTTTTTTGCTATTATCTTTTAGGAGATATTTTGCTACGGTAAAGGGGAATATTGATGACTTGGAGAGAGTAAGCATTTTATTTCATGTAGTATAGGATCATTTTAGATACTAATATTAAATCTTTCTTTTAGGGCTTGTTAAAAAAGGAGTTTTCGAAGTTTGGGAATGTTGAGAAAATTTTTATAAGTAGAGAGGAACAGTTTGCTAAAGTCTACATCAGCGACGAACAGTAAGTTTTATACAAACATGTATTTAAAATGTTGGAAAACTCACATTTTTTATTTTGTGCTTTTAGAAGCATAAAACAAGCTGTTCAGAAATTAAACGGTAAAAAAGGTTGGACAGTATTGTTCGATTTAGAAGAACGAGGCCATAAAAGAACTAGTAATTTTAACCAAAGGTATTTTCTTTAAAGAAATTTAAAATCTTTATGCACTCAGAGGCGAGAAAAATGCAACAGAAATTTTTTTTCTGAAATTTAAAGTGTTGCACAGGGTGTTTTAAAGTTAGGGTAAAAATCAACTCTTCAATTAACCCTGTATAACTAACTAGTCAAATACTAAAGTTTATAAAAAACTTAGTTTATAAATTAAAGTAGATATACAGGGTGGTCCGAACTGTATTGCTAAAAAAATCATGAAAAAATAGGACTAAAAATAGAAAATATAATACGTACTTTAAATTTGAGGAAAAAATTATATGTTGAGTTTATTTTTTGCATCAGAGTGTAGAAGACAATTTTTTTTTGTTAGTTTTAATTCACCCAAGCCCGCAGTAGTAGATGACGACATGATGAGTTTAGGTAATAACAGTTATCAAGACGACATGGAAGAAGGTAGTTTTTTAGGTGACGACTATGTAGACATTCATGGTCGCCCCGTTGAAGTGCTGGAAGGTGAAAACGGAAAATTATATGTTAATTTGGAAGACGTACGTCGGGCGGGTTTTAACATTTTTGACAAGGAGAGCTTTGAGAATGCTGTGATCACTCGAGAGTTAGTTGTAATGTTTTAGTAAAAAATTTATTAATTAACATGCTTTATTTCTAGCATCGAGTTAAGGCAGTTTTATAATTACATGCTGAACAAAGGCAAACAATATGTTATCAAGCTACAAAAGAATTTCAATAAAGATGAAGTATTAAGCACATTTGAAAGGTAATAATTCTTGTAGTGAGTGTTTCTTGTAGTGATAATTGAATTTATTTATTAATCTACGACAATGTCATTATGACACATTTAACATTGTCGTTTGGATGTCATTATGGCATTCATAATAGCGCCAGTGCTATTATGAATTCATAATAACACGCAAATATTAAAATAAGAAACAAGCAAAAAAAAGGAACCTAAATACATTTATTTATTGTACACATTAATTATAATATCAGTACAATTGGTTAAATTAATTCCAGACGATGGCAGGTGAGTTGAATTTTTAGAAAGTAAATTTATTTCCTGAGTGCTTTAACTTGTTGAAGACCCATCATTGCCAGAAATGTTACCCAAAATATTACATGACACTTTTTTCTTATTTTCTTTGGAATTTTCTATATAGCTCTCTGCCACTGTGTTAGAGCGCCAACCACCATGTCTGTTAACGGTTAAAAAAATAAAAAGAATCTGCAAGCAACGACGCAGACAATCTACGGAAATAATGTCCAGTGTATTGTTGTGGATTTGGAAGACTTAGGAACAATGCTATTTTATACGGCATTTTCCGTAAAGTATTAATGCCAACGGGTTGCTTAATACATTTTCCATTTCTGTACCCCCACAAAAATCGAGTATGCTCTGTGTTGCTTGGCCGTATAGCTATATATCTTCGAACCGTTTCCACCATATTTATTGCTTCAACAATCCCTTTCGTTATAAAAAATCTCGTGATATCTTTGTTTTCGTAAATGGAATAATGACATGAATGCATTGTCCTTCATCTTTAACATTTTGCAGCTGCAGATTTGTCAACTCGATACGCCGGCAAGCCCCACTATCAATGAAACTTTTGTCAGGAAATAAGTTTTATCATCGGCTTCCAACAAAAAACGAGTTATGTCTTCTTTTCTTAAAATTCTCGAACTTTTTGACCGAAGTCCTTCCGATTTTCTTTTTAGAAATGCAATTAAATGGACGTACTTACTAATATCTGTATTTTTCTTCACTGATATAACTGAACGTAGCATGGAATAATATACCCAAAGTGATGAAGCCTTCCTATGTTTTGAAAGATGTTCAAAATATGCCAGGAGAACCTTTTCGTTTCTACTATTCTTGATTCCTTTCCCTTTACACCAATCTTCAAGTTTTACATAGGCTTGTTCGTACGTTTGTCTTGATTTTTCGGGAAGTAGGGAATCGACAACGTTTTGCGCAATGCCTTCAATATCCGAAGGGACATTTTCAGAATCGGAATCACCCATATTAATATTATTTTTTGCTTTTTGTTGTCAAAAAAAATCAAAAGTTGTAGTCATTTCCGGCGAAACAGGAAGTGACAGAAAACAATTGAATACGTCAATGAATCCTAATTTATGTCATATACTAACATACCAAATCTCGTTTTGGTATCTCAAAAAATAAAAAAGTTATAGGGGTGAGCCACTTTTGAGACGCACCCGGTATAAACCAGAAAACCAAAATTATATGATAACGCACTTTTAAACGAAGTTGAAGGAAGATATAGTGTATCTATCACAATACTTAATAGAACTACTTCCTAATCCTAAGAAGAAAAAATACCCAAATACCTTTTCACCTACTACTTAACTACAAAATAAACGAATATAATCTCTTATAAAAACACTACACAACTACTTTACACTAAACAAATTATCAAACTTACTAATAAATCAAACAAAAAGAAAAAATAACCAAATTACCTCTTCACCTATTGCTTAACCACAAAATAAACTCTATTATTAAAAAGACTACTAAACTACTTCTGGTATTCTACACTAAACAAATAATTAAACTTAATAAATTAAGTCATAGATATGTCATAAACGAAAAACATAGATTACTAATTCAGTTAACTGTTTTCGGCAATTTTCTGATGCTGTGAGAACGAACATATGTTGATCGTCATTCTTCAGTAACAGGTTACTGATTCGTAGTGGAGCGCAACACGACATTAAGCCGCGTCGAAGCTACTCGAACAAAATGTTCGCGAACATATATAATTCACACTATATACTCGTAGCAGCAGGTCGTAAACGACGGCACAGCCCATCGCATCGGTCCCGAGGACCCAGGTGCATGGAAGAATGCGACAACCAGTTTGCTCTATAGATCTAGGATGCGTTTAGGTAGTCGCTATTTTTTCGAGTGCAAGCATTTTATTAAATAAATTAACGGGTAAACAGTTTAAGAACTTTTGTCGTTGAAGAATCAATATTTAGCAGGCGGAGGGTTACAGGGGTCTTTTGGTAGATTATTCGTTATAGTGTATTTTTAAGACCTGTATTCATTTTCAGCCGATTCTACCAGGTGTTTCTCAAAAGGGGCTCACTTTTTTTATTTTTTCAGATAATACAACGAAATTTGGTGTGTTAGTATATGACATAAATCGGGATTGATTGACGTATTCAATTACCTTCGGTCGCTTCCTGTTTCACCGGAAATGACTACAACTTTGTATTTTTAGATTGTATCCTAAGTACTTTTTTACTTTATTTGATAGAAAATGACATTCTGAATTGAATGACATACCATACGTAAATTTTAGACAATTCCAATTAAATAAAAATAGCATTTTAAATTTCAGTCTAGAATGCCAAGACTGAGTTAAAACTATTAATTTGTAATCAAAGAACTTTGGAAACATATATTTGATCGTGTAGTTTTTTTTCGTATCCTTTCATGACCGCGTAAAAGATGCCCAAATCGTATTTTTAATGATAACTCAAATTTTTCAAATGGTACGAGGCTGGCTCAGCATATTTGGAAAAAGCATTTTTTACGAATAATTTGGTACCACATACTTGGTATTTGGAGTAAAATTGTCGTTACGTTTATTTATGGCCATTTTTAAATTGAAAATGTCAAAAGTTGACATATAATATATCATTCTATTTAGAATGTCATTTTCTATCGTATACGGTAAAAAAATACCGAGGGTACCATTTAAATCAAAAGTTGTTGTCATTTCCGGTGAAATAGGTAGTGACCGTTAATAAATTAAAACGTCGATCAATCCTGATTTATGTCCTATACTAACATATCAAATCTCGTTTTTTATCTAAAAAATTAAAAAACTTATAGAAGTTAACCACTTTTCAGAAACACCCGGTACATTTATTTCTAAAAATGTAATGGTAAAATTTATCATCGTGTCAAACTTCCTATTAAGTAGTAATTTTTAATTTCAGAATCCCATAATAATTCCGGTTTTTAATAAAAATAATCATAAAGGTCTTTATTAACAAAAATGAAAATATATGGACGAAATCTTGCTACATAGCTATTCACACTAAAATTAAAATTATAAAATATATTCTTTGTGTAAACAAATTAGTTGTAAATGTTTTTTACGATCCCAGTTAATAACTGCGTCCCCTATTGTCGAATACTCGGTAAAAAATAAAAATCACAGATGGACGCCCAAATTAAATGAGACCCTTCCAAGTGTCCGGTACAATGTCCGCCGGAATGCACGCCGTTCGCTCCTTTTGATTTACCGACACCCGTCGGAAAAAGGACGCGCGCGCTCTAGCATAGGCAGACGCACGCTCTGGCGTACAAGCTAGCCGTTCGGCGCTCCGCGCTCCTTAATAGGCCTAGACTAGCTGTACTTGTTGCCTTTATTATTTATAAATCTACCTATCTCACAATTTTCACTTAGTATCTGTTTAATTATATGTACAGTGGTGGCCAAAGGTATGGAAACTTTTTTAATTTGTCATTTATGCTGAGAAATTAAAATATGAAATAAAACGACTTATATAATCGTGACCTACAAATAGTTTCCTACAGAACCTAATACATTTAAATAAAAAATTACAGCTATCAAAAAATATATAAAAAATTATGAATATTTTCTTGGTCAAAAGTATGGAAACTTAAGAAGAATGTTTATACTAATATTTAGTGGAATATCCCTTTGAATTAATTACTTCTCTACATCTTCGTGGCATCGAATCGATCAATCTCGTACAATTTTTATTGAAAATGGCCGCCCATTCAGTTTTTAGCACTTCCCATAATTCATTTTTATTTGAAATAGAATGGCTTCGAATTTTGCTATCCAAATGGTCCCATAAATTTTCTATGGGGTTAAGATCCGGAGACTGTGAGGGCCAATCCTTTAGTGGAACATTATGTTCATTTAACCAATTTTGAACAAACCGAGATTTGTGCTTGGGATCATTGTCTTGCTGGAACAACCTTCTGAGTGGCATTTCTTCATCAGCATGAGGCAGCATATTATTCTCCAATATGTCTTTGTACATAAAACGGTCCATTATCCCATCAATTTTAACAAGAGGATCAACACCTGAGCGAGAAAAACACCCCCATACCATTATACTCCCACCCCCATGTTTTACTGTGGGCATCTGGTACTTATAGCTGTACCGTGTACCTTTTGGTCTTCGGACATAACGTCTCCCGTTACTACCAAACAGTTGAAACTTGCTTTCGTCGCTAAACAGTACAGTATTCCATTTCTGATAAGACCAGGTGAGATGATCCTGAGCAAATTTAAAGCGACCCATCCTATTTTTCTTTGATATTAGTGGTTTCTTCACCGCAACTCTTCCAAAAAGTCCCATGTCATCCAACCTTCTTCTCACCGTGCGTGCAGACACCGATATTCCCCTTTCACCCATTTCTCGAGAAATGTCTGTTGATGTTTTCTTGGATCTCCCATTGATATTCTCTTCATTACTTTCATTGTCCTGTTGCACCCCTTTCTTGGTCTTCCTGACTTAAAAGCTGTTGAAACGTTCCCTGTTTTATTAAATTTACGAATTATTTTCGAAACGGTGCTTCTTAAAATGTTTAAATTTTTACTTATTTGAATTTGTTTATAACCGCTCTTGTATAATTCAACTATTTTATTTTTTAAATCCGTAGAGAAATATTTAGACTTGGGCATGATGTTTATATTTATCTGAAGTAAGTCGTACCGTTTATCAGCTTAAACTAAATAATTTTAATGTATTTATTTATGGTTTCCATACTTTTAGCTACAAGAAATCTATTGTTCTCCTACAAAAACTGCTAAACAGATTTTTTTCGCTGTGTAATTTTTGGAATACTTTTATTTGCTGATAAGCTGTTCATTTATATTCCTGAGAGTTTAAGCATAGCAATATTTTCTGTGATATTTTAAAAAGTAAAAAATTTCCATACTTTTGGCCACCACTGTATATAATTGTATACCGAACGGCTCTAGTATAGCAAGTTGTACCTTGCTACTCCCAAGGCGTTAAACGCTATATCCGAGAACTATTAATATTATTATCTGTTTAATTATATATGTTCGCGAACATTTTGTTCGAGTAGTTTGGACGCGGCTTTACAAAAAATACCGCTCCAAAATCGCGTTACTCAAATACCGACACATCACTAATGTTTACAAAGCTTAAAGTATTTTAACAATACTCTTCTTGAAGCCTGACAAGCTAATGTCTAATGAATTTATATTGTCTTTAGTGTCAAAGCTGCCCTGTTAGGTAACACCAACGAAACAGCAACCAATAATTCATTTGGTAGAAGTCGTATAGTTTCCAGAGATGCTCAATCTAAAAATTTTGTTATCACAAGAAACACAGCTCCAGAGACGTCGGTTGCTGGTTCTTCGAAATCATCAGATGTTCCCACCCAGAATGGTTTTCAGTCATTTTCACCAAAACCACCGAACAAAAATGAGGTCAGTTATATATTTACATAAAAGAAATATAAAAAAAATTATAATTATTTTTAATGACTTAGGATTACAGAAGAAGGAGGTTTAAAAGTCAGGTAACTGATAAAACTTATGTAATTGCTATGTGGCTTGATCATGTAAAATAAGAAAATCATTTTAAGCCAAAAAATTACATTTTAGATTTCTGTGTCGATGAATGGTGATTCGTTTGTTAATGCAAGAGTCTCTTCTGCTTCACATTTCACAAACTTATCACAAATGCATTGTTTAATCGTTTCCCATATTTTTGCACAGATTTTTAACATTTTGCTTTTATTTGCTATGGTGTGAACTATAATCATACAACATATAGTATATATAATAAATATATACTATATGTTCTATTTAGGAATGTTGTTGTAGTAGTTCCTCTTAGCTAGTCTTTGATAATTTGTAATTTTGTGATGTTAGTCTATCTAGTTTGCTTTTGTTTGACCATTTCTAAACCAAAATAATAAATTCTGAGAATTTTGAAACACTTTGGTTATTATTTGTGTACTAATAATTTGGTTATTAATACACAAAAGCCTGTATCATTAATAAGTCTTCTACTTCCTAAAGCTAGATACAGAGCAATAAAAATAATAATTTCCCATATTTTTGCACAGACTTTTAACATTTTGCTTTTATTTGCTATGGTGTGAACTATAATCCTATATGTTCTATTTAGGAATGTTGTTGCAGTAGTTCCTCTTAGCTAGTCTTTGATAATTTGTAATTTTGTGATGTTAGTCTATCTAGTTTGCTTTTGTTTGACCATTTCTAAACCAAAATAATAAATTCTGAGAATTTTGAAACACTTTGGTTATTATTTGTGTACTAATAATTTGGTTATTAGTACACAAAAGCCTGTATTATTAATAAGTCTTCTACTTCCTAAAGCTAGATACAGAGCAATAAAAATAACGTAACATAAATTTGATTAAAAATTAATAATAATGCTTGTAATCAAAACGCGTTATTTCTAAGTAATATTTTAGGTTTTGCTTTCTTTTGTTTGAAAATGTTATTTATAAATGACAGCTTATCAGTATGTCCGCAGTTATTATATTTTTTATTGTTATTACTTGTTATTTTTTAGAATAACATTGCAAGTTTAGTGCTGGCACTTCACTGTTATTTTCATATCTGTTATTTTTGGAATAACAATTGCGAGCTGAGTAAAATTTTATGGCACGGCGATTTCTATAAAAACATCGCGGGCTGTCATTCTCCGTGCACTATTATTTTCATACCTGTTATTTTTTGGAATAACAGTTTCGAGCTTAGAATTTTGTGGCAGGGCGATCTCGATAATTTTTCGCGGACTATCGCTCTCGGTTCACTGGTATTTTCATACCTGTTCTTTTATGAAATAACAGCTGCAAGCTTAGTAGAATATCGTATAAACGGCGATTCCTATAAAACTTGTTACGCTGTTATTTTCATACCTGTAATATTTTGGAATAATTGATGCAAATTTGAATTTTGTATTACGGCGATACGTATAAACCATCGCGCGTTATCGCTATATGTGCACTGTTATTTTTATCCTGTTATTTTTTGGAATAACAGTTGCGAGTTTAATTTGAATTTTGTGGCACGGCAATTCCTGTAAAACATCGCGGACTGGCGCACTCCGTATTATTTTCATGTCTGTTATTTTTTAAAATAACAATTGTGACTCTAGAATTTTCTGAAACAACGATAAATATCACGAGCGGTCGCTGTCGGTGCACTGTTATTCTCATGTCTGTTATTTTTTGTAATAACAATTGCAAGCTTAGAATTTCGTAGCACGGTGATCCCTATAAAACTTGTTGTACTGTTATTTTCAGACCTGTAATATTTTGGAATAATAAACATTTTGTGTTACAGCGTTACCTATAAAACATCGCGGGCTATTGCTACCGGCGCATTATTTTTATATCTGTTTTTTTTTGTAATTGTAAATGATAACATTTGAACAGAAACCGAGGAACTCTAAGTCCAATCCACGTAAATAAAATATATCTTTAATATTTGACGTTCGTGTATTATTATGGAATACAATCCCGCACCACAATCTCAATCCCGCAAACCTGCGGGATTAAAGCAATCAATCCCGCGGATCCGCAAAATTGCGGGATTTTAAACAATAAATGCTTTTCTTTTCTCTCTCGGATTTTGGGATGCGGTTTGGACCAGGTTTTAGATGCATCTATTGTGATTAAGATGCTATGTGGTTTTCGAAAATATATTTAGCGAATTCTCGTGTACAGGGTGTTTTATAATAGTGTACAAATTTGGTTAAGAATTTTTTTACCGGAAATTTACAATTTTTGAAAAATCAAAATTTTAACTATGTACGACTAATCTGTATTGAAATTAGAAAAAAACAATTTGGTGTTTTTTTTTTATTTTTTTGTTTTAAGGAAAATATGAGTTTTTTTTCGAAAAATATGCATTTATAGTCATACATTTGGTCCTAAATGGTACAAAAGGCATTGTACATTTTGAGTAGGCCCACAATATACTGATATAGCGTGTATCTTAAACTAGCTGTACAGTTTGGACCGATGTGTACGGGGTGTTCAAAAAATATATTTAATATTAAATAAACTTAAATTTTATTATAATTTATCTACTTATTTTATAAATAAAAATATTATTCTGATGTTGAAGGTTTTTTTCAACTTGTGTTAGTTATCTGCTTTTAGATACACTCTATATCAATAATTTTTTGGCATATGCATTTTTGTACCATTTAGGACCATCGTATGACTAAAAATGCATATTTTTCGAAAAAACGTCATATTTTCCTTAAAACAAAAAAAAGTAAAAACCCCAATGAAATTGTTTTTTCTAATTTCAATACAGATTAGTCGTAACTTGGTAAAAATTTCGATTTTTTTAAAATTGTAAATTTGCGGTAAAAAAGATTCTTGATCAAATTTTCACACTCTTATAAAACACCCTGTATACGAGAATTCGCTAAACATATTTTCGAAAACCGCATAGTATCTTAATTACAATAGATGCATCTAAAACCTGGTCCAAACCGCATCCCAAAATCTTTTTTAGTTCAAGAGATATTCAACTTTAAATTTACCATAAAATTTTGCTTGTCCCGATAATTATGCCCGGCAGTTTATTTGACGAAATTGTCCACAAGTACTAGTTAAACGCTTTTCTTCACTTACGCACGCCAGAAAGAAATCTAACAACTAACATGTTTGTTTCACTTATTTTTAATGGCCAAGCCGTAAGGGGAATCCCCTGGTGTCGATCCCGCACGGTAAATCCCGCAAATTTGATCCCGCGGAATCACAGAGGAATCCCGCATTTGCGGGATTGCATTCCTTATGTATTATCCTTTGTGTAGGTGTATGATCGAAAGAATTTCCCAAATTATTTTAAACTTTTTTCTATCATCACGGTAAATTTTAGGTAAATTTGACCGTAGCTGACAGTGGTCAAAATTATACCAGAAGTTTCAAAAATGACGGAGATTGAAAGAGCCCTGACCTTGTCCTGACGTTAGTCTTGCACTTGGTGGCCGGAAAATCCTAGCAGATTAGGCCTAAAAAATAATTATTAAGCACGTTTATTTTTTAGGATCGCCGAAGACAAAGCAGGAACGAAGGAAATTTCAATACACCTCCCTCCAATTTAAATCCCCCCCAATTCCCTCCAAAAAATAGGCAACAAAATCATACTGAAGACAAAAACGATGTTGAAGAGGAATGGGGTTCTTCCGAAACTCCGACAGCTCCAGCAGTTGTTTTAGATTCTGTTAAGTTAAATGTCGGAAGTACTTATAAGGTAAGTACGGGGAGAGGCCAGGGCCCGAATTCTGCAAATTCGACATAAAAACGTTACGCTTTCAAAGCGGTAAAAAATTGATAATATACGACTTGGCAGCTATAAATATTGTTCAAAACATCGAAAATGCTAAGAAGCGTTTTCAACATTTCCCTCGTATAATAAGAATAATGACATATCCATAGAAAAATAGGTTGACATAACTCTTTGAATAAGAAGACTAAGGAAGGAGCATAATGCTATCCATGTATTCATGCATGGTGGGCGGAAAAAGGACTCTAGGGTGGGGATCCTTGACAGTTCTGTTTGACGATTCATTTGACACATTGGAATTTGATTTGAAATTTTGTGGATTTGTCAGTCTTTACATTTCTTAAATTACAGTCTTAAATTTTATCCTACTACTGATAGTTGTATAAAGGTAGTAAATCTAGATGGAAATTGTGGCAGAACTTAAATTAACAGTGACACTATCGCGATTTATCGAAAAAGACTCTAAAATAGTTGGTTGTGTAGCGTGCGGTAGATCTCGGCAAAAATCGAGTGAGATAATGGAACAACTTTTCGCTAGTAAGTGACTATATAATATACATACGTGTAGTAAACCGATCATTTATGAAATTCACTTAAATTAACTAATTATATATGTTTTCTTGCATTTTTGCTTTTATTTACTACTTGTCAAAGATTAGATGTCAAGAATTTAGATACATCAATTTGACTTACCTGCTTCAGTAGCGTATCGGATGTTTATGGTTATAAATAATTATTATAACTTATCTATTTTTATTAGAATTTTATATTTTTATAACAATTTAAATAACCACCAACATTTATTCACAACGTAAGATAAATTAACAAATTATTGAGTCTACCCCACGTCTGCCCTACATCATAGTTTTACATTTTTTAAATAAAATTAGAACGGCACTGATAAACCGGAATTTAAGTCGGCCATATTTGAGGCCCATCGCGGTGGACCTAATATTTTTGATATGCTCCTTCCTTAGTCTTTTTATTCAAAGACATAACTCAACAATAGGTTATGAAATTCACGTAACATTGACATTTTTCACTGTTTTATTCGCATTTGACTATTAGATACCTGCGAAATGGCGATGCTGTCAATATGTGCTCAACGCGTATCCAGAAAATGATTTGCACGGCAACGAGAATACCAAAATCCACTGCTTGACGTTTCGCTAATCACATACTTTCGCTCACCGCTTTGAAAGCGTAACGTTTTTATGTCAAAGTTACAGAATTCGGGCCCTGGTCTCCAGCTATAGCAAATCTTAGAGTCTCCACAGACGCTCAGTCCTTTAACACAGGCAGACTGTACAGGCCAGTTTGCGCAGTTATACCTGGGCAATTTTTCGCTAGAATGGAACTTCTTAGATTATTAGTTTTTTTTATAACTGCTTCCCCATTTGTTTCCGAATCAATCTCCTATAGTTTTTCTTCTATATGAAGTGTTCATAAACTGTGTTCCTCTACGATATGCGAGACCTTGTCATTGGTGGGGAAGCTCCTAGTCAGGTGCTAAGGGAATCCCCTCTGGCATTTTAGTTGGGTCTAAAGGCACATTCTCACGACTGGTGTACTTGACAAACATTTGTTATTGGAATATACTTGCCATGTCGTGAGAACGATTTCCTTGGTCACTCGTCGCGTCCCCACTTTCTGTCGGTAAACATAACCCGAGTCAAACGATTAATCGTTCACTTGCCAAGTGTACTTGGCCAGACTTATTTACACTTGCCGAGGCGCAAAAAAACACCTGCGCAAGTTAGTAGTGTTTTTCGAGTTAATTGCGGGTAATTCAAAACGTTACTGCAATAATAGATTATGTAATATCAAATTTACATTAATAACTTCAATATTGGCGGCATCTAAATCGTTCCCACAGCAATAAATGGAGTGGACAAATGAAGACTACACGGGAAAAACCAGATATGTCACATTTTCATAGAAATTAAGATAGCGACGTTGAGCGATACAGCTTTATGGACAAATGTTAACGTCATTCGAGAAAAAAGAAAGCAATAATACGCTTAGTCCCAGAGATATTACAACTTGGTTATTTTGCCGTACAAAGGAAAAACCAGAGTAGTCCACGCGTAAATGGCAAAAACCAGAGATGTACTGACGCATGGGCGACAAACATGCATCTTGCAATTAGTATTATATGTTATAAATTTATGTATTGTAATAAAAACCTACTTAAATATTAATTTTCTCCCTACAACAAAAAATAATAGTTTAGATTTAGGTTTTATACAACCTTTAATTGGACATCCCTGGTTTTCCCTTGTTTTGTTTTGCATTTTGACATTTTTATTCGGTATTTCAGAATATGGCGATAATTCACAATATTAATAATTCAGAATTGGTAGTAATATATATTTTTCTAATTATTCAACAACAAAAATAACATATTTCTTTAAAAACACTAAATTGCATTTTTCTCGGTTCCTATTAAAATGGACAAAACTAGGTTTTCCCGTGTAGTCTTCAAAAAATGATGTTTTGGAATTTATGGATTTATACGAAAATGAGCCCTTCATAATATGGATAGCCAAACATAAAGAACATAGAAATCGTATTGCAGTGTACAGTAAAAGAACTTAAAAAGAATCACTAGCAACAACAATTTCGGGACGACCGGTATCCATCGATGTGACTATACTGTTTATTTGCCAAGGATTTAAACAATGTTTGTGCTGGCGTACTTGTTGAAATGGACACGTCGTGTGAGCACCACACTTGCCGATGTTGTTTACAAATTGGGGACTGGTGGGGATACTTGCCAAGTATGCAAATATTGGCGTACTTGCCAAGTAGACCAGTCGTGAGAGTGCGCCTTAAGAACCATCTCATTGTCTTGTAGTGTCGTGGCCAGCGAATTGCACTAAAACGTATAACGATGCCGGACGGGAAAACCTTATCCGTCATACCAGGCACCGCCCGATCCAAGAGAAGACAACCTCACGAAAAACCTAAATCATACGATGGCGGGACCAGGTCAAAGGGATGCATGGCTGGATAGAAGACTAGCCTCTATTGGTCTCAACTTTAGGGCACCAGGGGGTACCTATTGTATTCTCGTTACAGCCTACCTTTAACTCTTGTGGTGTAATTGACCTCAAATCTAAGGTTCCTATAGAGAAAGAGGGATATATATCATTTCTAAGGAAAACCAAGTTAAGAGGTGGAGAAAATGGGGACAGATCCTCCAGCCTCCACCTCACGGGTACTTCAACCGGAGATAAGCTCCTCGACAGTAAAGGGCACGAAGGGCTAAACCCCAACCGTTGTGGAGTGTATACTCTCGTAGGAGATAGATGATAGATAAAAAACGAACGAGCATACATAGCTTCAAGCTTGAAGTTTGCGCAGGCCAAATTCAAGCAGGGTCTGATTTTGCTCAAATCATACCAACGGCCTGCACAGGCGGCCGGAACTTCACACATACGTACCGCTATAGCTGCACAGTCCAAGTTTACACAGGCGCAGGCGGTCTGAGCGACAAAACTGAGCGTCTGTATTCTGTATATCGATTTACGAAACTTTATAATTATATCAATTTTTTTTATTTATAGGTTATAGTGACAAATGTCAGACCAGACAAAGGATCGGTATTTTATGCCCAACTGGTCGATAATCAATCTCTGATTAAACAAATTGTCGATCAAGTGAACGCACGCGATAGCAAAAATAAGGAAATCAAGAATCCTTCTGAGTCCATGTTTTGTGTAGCGTATGATAACACCTCGTGGTGAGTAGGGAGTTATTCTTTATTCAGCGATCGTTCAAAAAGTCATACAGGATGTCATTGAAATGGTTTAAAAAAAATCGGGCGGCGATAGTACTCCTAAAAATAGTAAAAAAAGTTCCTATAAGTATAGGGCGGAAAATGCATATTAAGGAAGCTAGGGGCACTGAAAGGGTGAATTTAAAATACGGTTGTTTTGAAATTGTAGGCTTAAAAAACGAGATAAAATTTTGAAAAAAAATCCTCTGCCATAAATTTTGACCCTAAATCAAGTGATGATACTGAAAAATTATTTGGAAAAGCGGAAAGGGTAGATTTTGCAAGGGCAGGGTTCGCGAATAACTTTTTTGAGGTTATTTTTTTTTACAACGTGGGCTAATTTTTTGAAAACTACATACTTTTTTCCCCAAAAAAGGTACTCTTGTTGCACATCGCCCAGAGTGATGGTTTTCGAGAAAATTGAATGCAAAGAGTTTGCTCTGATAGGTTGCTAACTGGTTAATCAACATAATCTTATGAAGGTTATGGCGCCAAATAATTAATTGAAAAATCAACATTTCATTATTTTTTAAACATTTTATTGCTTTAAAAAACGAAATAACAAAGCTATGGTTTACTCAGTACCGATTAATATTGAAGAGCAATTGTTTTGAATTATTGCTTTAGTTTTATTAGGTAATTTGATATTTAAGTAGCTGGGATTAGTTTTAATTAAATAAATATGGCCCAAAATATGAATTCCACCTCTTCCAATACTAAAGAACCTATAAAGAGTCTTAGGTTTACAGCAGATGACGACTTATTAGCCCTTCTAAAAGAATTTGTTGCTTGTTGCCCTAAACCCATTGGCACACGTTGAACAATAAAGCACTGGAAATAAGCACTTTAGCCCTTTAGTTTTAAAATACCTAGTAAACAAAACAATTTCAAAGTTTTAAATTCAAAGTTAGGTTAAGTTTAAATAACGGACGCGACGCGATCAGAATTCTTTCCGATCCGATAACTATAAATGAAGAGAGTTTATACCACCTCACGTAAAGGAAATAACAACTGGCCTTATTAACGTCCATGCACGCTATTCGGTTTAGCGATATCTCTCTATTACGTTGTTTATTGTTATTTTACGCGAGTTTATTTTTGCGCACAGGAAATTTGACTCGTTTGCACATTGTCATAAAAAACAATTTTCGTACCACGAATTAGGGACAAAATTTTTATCTGTATACTTATAGGATACCTAATCTGTGATATTACCATAGAAACGCCCTTTGATTTTTACGACTTTTAGGAAAAAATTCCACCATATTTTCAAGTTTTTGTTCTCTAAAACGGTATAGAAATTTGGAAAAGTACCTATAAACGAAATTACATGCTTATTTCTGAGACACCCTGTATATTTATTTCTTTCTATTTATCGGAACGCATTTGTGGGCCCCCTTTACCATTAAATTAAAAAATGACACATCTATTTCAGGTACAGAGGGCGTATTTGCAGCGTTGGCGCCAATCAAACAAGCATAGAATTAATTGATTTTGGCAAAAGGATCCTGTCCTCGACGCCCGTAAGAGAACTTTCTTCCGACAGCAGTAAATGGCCAGCACAATCAGTTCGGATGACTCTGTCATTGGATTCTAACACCCGAACATCTGTAGAAGTCGACGAGGAACTAGAAATAGTTGTCAAAAAAAACGTATGTTTGCACTATATTTTTCGGCGCCAGCAGTGGGTTCAATCACCAGCCGGAACGGTCGCTTTATTTATTTAAATTATCCATCTTGAGTATATTTGTCTTGTACAGCCTACAAATTTTTGAGATGAAGCTATACAAAATCCACAAAAGTCGGTCTTTTTCAAGTATGCATCAGGCAACGAATCTTTTTTTTAATTATTTATTAGCTGTAAGATATTTTATACATTCAAATTTAGAAATAAGGATTAAACAAAATAAAAAATATGTATAAAACTTTATAATTGATTCCACTTCAAATTATGAGCAGTGTATACCATGTTTATAGGACCACTTCATAAGTTGAGCAGTTAAATAGGTAGTCTATCTGTCAAACACGTCAAAAAAGAGAGAAAGAAAATTTGGTCCCACCACATCAAAAGAGCCGACGGTTTCTGTCGCTACTCGTCGATCCACTTACTCTGCTATGGCCTTATTTCGCTCTTTCGCTGGACATACTATAGATTATTTATTAACTTTTTTTTTGAAATGTGAATACCCATACTAAGGGCTGGCAAAGGTTAGTCTTGGGTCGAGATTTCCGTATGTAAGAAGAGTACAATGCGTTTATAATGTACTGAACAAAGAGAGGACAGTAAACACGTTGCCAAACATATGAAATAAACCGAGAAACTGTGCACATCCCTAAGGGACGTGGAAGGGGATATAGCAGATTTGTTGCAGTTGCCCGGTCGACCCAATCAATACCTCTGTCAGTACTTAAAGTTCTAGGGAAAGGTGTACGTCATGCGTTCAGCTTCACGATTTAATTACGTCTCGTGATACTTAATTTGTTCATTTATTAACGAATCGTTGTAATTTTCCCTATAGCTTGAATTTTTTTAAGTGCAAGCTAGAAACACTTGCATTTTTGGTAAAAATAAGTGGAATTGAGTGGGTGTTCGATAGTGGTCACGCTATTAGAACTCTGAATTCAAAAATCGATATCTCGAAATCTATTAGAAATAATAGATTGTAGTTTTTTCAAGAACTTTTTTAATATTTCTGCTGTATTTTCTTTGTAGACAGTATGTGAAAATCTTTAACAATAAAAAAATTACACGATTGCTGAAAATCGCTATACTCTAAAAGTAAACGGATGGATTGTTTACAATTTTTGAATAGAAAAAACAACCTTATCGAATTTTTCTTATGTAAACATATTGTAAACTATCCGATCTTCAAAATAAAAAAAAGTTTCAATATCTAAAGTGGTTCTTGAGTTATGGCCTGTTATATGTTAAAAAGTTGAGTTTTAAAATTATCGCGATTACTTACGTTTTCTCGTTATAAAAAAAATGACACCTTAACAATATCCTTATAATTCCATTTCAGATGCTCAGAAACGTGTCTAATGATTTTATCTAGTTATCTCTTGAAAAAAAGTCTTTTAAAAATAAGCGGTTTGCGATCGTGATTTTACTTTATTCGATAGGGCAAGGCGAATCGGCAACACCGCAACAGCACACCGTCGCGCGTCGCTTCGGTCGGTCGCATTTCTCTCACTCCGACTTATTAAGATCCCTATGCGATTTACTTCCACACATGTAAATGCCGACCCAAAAGTAACCGTTGCCAGCACGGTATAACAAACTCATTTATTTTGGAGATACCTTGTATATCATTACAAATGTTATTATTTATTTCAGTATTCTACTGATACATATTTAGTACAGATTAATGGAAATGAGAGAGAAGAAGAACCTACCAAGGAAGATTGTTTTACCAAAGTAAGTCTCTCTGTATTTTTTTTCTTTAAACAATAATTGTTTTTACAATACTAATTGTACAGTGTTGTTCATACAACTGGCTCATTAGAAGTTTTTTAGAATATAATTTTGTGCAAGTTGGTGATATTTCTAGGTGTATTTTCTTTTTTTAGGCACTTTCTACATAGAAAATATTTAAATAAATAGTATTTTTAGAAATATAATGCCAAATAAAACTTAAAAGATAGAAATTAATAGAATATTTTGTCTAACGAAAATTTTTATTTTTCAATATGCAGGGTGGTGCACCTCATTCGCCTCGGTTGATTATACGAAAACGGAAAGATGTAGAAACAAAATATTTTATGGGTTTATGTGGGGAAGCAATGTGCACAATTTAAAATTATTTTGAAACATACAGGATGTTTCAGAACTAAGATCCATACCAAAGTTATATTTTTTCTTATGGAACACCCGGTATTTTATTAAATTTTTGGATTTGTGGGCCCAAAAAAGGCATTTATTATAAGGGTTTAATATCTTTAAAATCTTTGGTTTTTGAGATAATGAAAGATATTTAAATTGGCATGCTACTATAGAATAGATTATTAACACCCTGTACATTACTTTTCATAATTAATTTTTGTGCTGAGTTTAAAGGTAAAGAAATAAACTTTACTGGAAAATGTTGACTACTTTCTTAAATTTATACAGGGGTATCAAAAATTGCTGATTTAATTTAAGGATTTATTTTACATAAAAACTTCGTTATTTCAAATACAACACCCTGTATTTTTTATAATAAATCGAAGCTGACTCAAATGCTCTTTCAAACTATGTTACGGTTTTCTATACCCATCTAGCTCAGATTTTGAATAAAGAGCAATTTTTCAATAAAATGGCAACCAAGAGGGCTAGTGTCGTCATGGCAGGTTTTTTATTGACAGTTAGTACCTATTTTGAAAATCGAAATTAGTTTATGGACTTATTTAAATTTATACCAGTTTACTTTTATTTAATTTACCCTACAATAGTTTAATAAATAATATTTATTAAATATGTATTTATTATTCTATCAAGAAAAACGAAGAAGTAGTTCTTTGATTTATTTTACGATGACTTGTAGATATATGGATTTTCTATGAAAGAGACAATTACGGGAAATTCATTTTCTTCACTTCCAACGACAGGTTTCTGTCTCTAACAGGTTTTTTTTTATAAACCACATCTGCGAAATAGGGCAAGTAGTTTTTCAAAGGAACGCTTATCAGGAAGATTCCTATTTTTGGATACATTTGATCATAAGCTGTTGAGGCCAAGAAGCAATTTTCCTCCCAAAATAAAATCACTACAAACATATCCATTCGTTCTTCCTGCAGATATTGCTTTATTTTTCTTGATAAAATAATGAATACTTACTTATTAAACTATTGTAGGTAAATCTAAGTAAACTGTTATAAATTATAAATAATAATGTCCATAAACTAATGTCGACTTTGAAAATAGTTACTAACTGTCACTAGAAAATTGCCATGGCGACAGCAGCCATCTTGATTGCAATTTTATTTAAAAATCACTTTTTATGCAAAATATGAGCTAGATAGGTATAGGACACCCTAATATAGTTTGAAAGAGCATTTGAATCTGCTTCGGTATATTTAAAAAAATACAGGGTGTTACATTTGAAATAACGAGGTTTTTATATAAAATAAATCCTTAAAATAGATCAGCAATTTTTGATACCCCTGTATAAATTTAAGGAAGCAATGCTTTTTTTCAGTAAAGTTTATTTCTTTACCTTTAAACTCAGCACAAGAATTAATTCTAAAAAGTAATGTACAGGGTGTTAATAATCTATTCTATTGTAGCATGCAAATTTGCAAATTGCTCTATTTTAGCATCTAAATTGCAGCAAATTGCAGCAATATGCGGATGATTCTCAAATTTATTGCAGAATAGATACTAATAATTTGGCACAATTTCAGTTAAATTTTAACAACGATCTTAATAAAATTAATAAATATGCTCTAGATCATAATTTGAAATTAAATGCCGGTAAATCTTGTGTTATAGTATTTGGCAGTGATATAAACAAAATTACAAATACGGCTGGTAACATGAATATCCATATAGATAATGTTGCGATACCCATTGTTACAGAGACTAAAAATCTTGGAGTCTATTTTGATGCGAAGCTTTCTTTTCAGGCACATATAACTACTAAATTAAAGGCTGCTTATATACGTTTGAAGAATTTTTCGTCTCTTAAGAAATATATACCATCAAAAACTAAGTATCAATTATGTGACACATTTTATCTTTATTTGATTACAGCGATGTTGTTTATGGTACATCCATAAACGCTAGATTCTCTAGAAAAATCCAAATACTTCAAAACTCGTGTCTACGGTTTTCTTTTAACATTCCTTTTAGAGATCATATAATACCACATCTTAAAAATTTATCTATTTTATCCATGACTAACAGACGACAATTTCATATAATGACATTCATTTATCGAATTTTAACTACAGAGCAGCCTCCCTATTTGTTCTCATTGTTTCATTACATTGACCACGATCATTCGACTAGGCAAGTGCATTATTTTAAAATTCCTCAACACCGAACAGCTAACTTCCAAAAATCTTTCAGTTTCAAAGCGCCACATTTGTGGAATAATATTTCTAATAACTTTAAATTTCAATCCTTTACAGATTATAAAAAACAAATTAAAAATCATTTACTAAATTCGTAAAAATTATAATTTCGTCGACTGATTTGTGAGGTTCTTGTTCTTCCGATATGCCCGTCATTGGTTGCTGTTCCGGTTTTTACACTGTTTCATTATGCCTCTCTGCTTATCTCCGCTCATCCCTGATAAAATTATATTTTCACTTTTTTTATATAATTTTAATTTTTTTAATTCTGTTTATTTTTATAATTTAATTTATTGCTATTTTGTATTTGGGGTCGCACCACTCTGGCACTTTGTGCCATTGTATCGGTTTTTTAATCGCGGTGCGATCCCTTTAGACACACATTTATTAATACTATTATTCTGTAAAACTTGATGGGGTCTAATAAAGAAATTAGAATTTGAATTTGAATTTGAAATTTAAGTATCTTTAAATATCTCAAAAACCAAAGATTTTAAACATATTTAACCCTTATAATAAATGCCTTTTTTTGGGCACAAGAATCCAAAAATGAAATAAAATACCGGGTGTTCCATAAGAAAAAATATAACATTGGTATGGATCTTAGTTCTAAAACGCCCTGTATATTTCAAAATAATTTTAAATTGTGCACATTCCCTCCCCACATATACCCATAAAATATTTTGTTCCTATATCTTTTCGTTTTCATCAACAGAGGTGAATGAGGTGGCCACCCTGTATTATATTGAAACAGCATTTCTTTCTTTAAAATTTTGTGCAATAATAATAAATAATAAGTAATTTCTTGACCTCGCCAAAATTACCATCGATTGTCATTCCCCTGCCGTCTTTGTCGTCGTTTTTTTTTTCGATCATACTGTATTTATTATATTCTATTTTGTAGATACCGCCCAGCGATGCTCAACTGAAAAACGACGAATCCGTGATGATCATCGGTTTCAATGACACGCATCTGACGCTGCGCAACAAAACGACAGCTGACATTTGCAAGAAAATCAACAACTACTTGACGACGTTCGAAAAGAATCCCATAAGCAATCCACAAGTTGGTCAAATCGTTCTGTGCGCCAAGGATGGGCTGGAAGGCATGCACAGGGCTGTGATCAAGAATATTAAAGGCAACGTTGCCGACGTGGAGTATCTGGATTATTCTGGAAGTAAGCTTTTGGCTCGGTATGATTATTATAGAAATAAAGATGACTAATATCCTTGTATATGAATTTTTAAAGTAGCTCAACCTAGCCGTTTATGGATGCAAAGCACCAGATGGCGGGGCGTATTTCACAGTCTTTTACTACAGAAAAATATTTTTTGTTGCTCTGAATTTTGAAGCGACCAATAAAAACAGAGAAAATAAAAATCGATAATTTTCGGACTGTGCCAATTGGTTACTAATCGACTAGATACTTTTTGTCTATTATATATGCTATAAAAGCTGGTAATTATACAATTCGACTATTGTAAATACCCGACAAATTCCGCAAGGCCGACGAGGCCGATGTTTTTCACTGATAAGAAAAAAAAATGTTTGTTTAGATAATTTTCGAGATATTTTTTCTTTCTGAATGCATATTTTTAAAGTATTTTATATTCTTTGTCCGCTTGATCTATTATACTGGTCGCACGTATCGAAGTTCTGTTTCTTCTAGTTTTAAAAAATGTTCTTATTTTTTTGTAGTTGTAGTAGTTGTAGTCTAAAATTAGATTAATTTTATTAAGTTTAATTATAATGTTTAGTGTAGAATACCAGAAATAGTTTAGTAGTGTTTTTATAGTTTATTTTGTAGTTAAGTAGTAGGTGAAGGGATAATTTGGTTATTTTTTTTTAATTAGTACAAGAAGTAGTTGTGTAGTGTTTTTATAAGAGATTATATTCGTTTATTTTGTAGATGAGTAGTAGGTGAAGGTACTTGGGTATTTTTTATTTTTGTTTTTCTTCTAATTGTAGTAATTCTATTAAGTATTGTGATAGATACACTATATGTATCTTCCTTCAACTTCGTTGAAAAGTGCGTTATCATATAATTTTGGTTTTCTGGTAGTAGAATATACGAAAAAAAAATCTGATAAGATTTATTTTAAATTAAATTAATCGAGTCTTATTAATCAAATTAATCTAGTCAAATAATAATAATAGTTAGTTTCTAAATACTATATAGGGTGAGTTTCCTACGATGTTCTCTATGGGTATCTCGAAAAGTACTGGAGATAGAGAGTCGGATAAATGGGGAAAGAATTGCAGTTTTGTGGTGTCATAAATAGGGCTTACTAGATATTTCGAAAAAAAAACAAATTTTGGCTATTTTAAAACTTGTCTCTAATTCCATTATAATCTACTATATTATGGTATGATCGAATAAAAACGGCTTCAACGATGGCTATGAAATGAAGATCGCTGTCATTTTATATGTAAAATTATATGGGAAATATCATCGATCGTCATTTCATAGCCATCGCTGACGCCGTTTTTATTCGATCATACGGTATTTTAGACAAAAAGTTTTCAGATAAAATTTGTAGATAATCACATACCTAGTGAGTTTGTGTTTGCTGTTTTTTTTTCTAAAGCCTGTCATTTTTGACATATGACACAAACATATGTTTTTTTTTAAATGAAAACCATAGTTGGCCATGACTTCATAAAAAGCACAATTTTTAAGCTTTTCAGAGATATAGGTATAATATGTTTTTTTTTTTTCGAAAAATTACAAGTTATAGACAATTCTTTTCTTTCTTGGCTAAGTTCCATACCAATAATACCATGCCAATTAGTTGGCATCAAAAATGTAGAAAGTTTTATGTTTTCAAAAGAAAAATATCGTAAAATTCGTAAAGCACTCAATTTAGAATAAAATAATCTAAGCATGAAATGATTCTTTTATAAACCTGCATTAAATCTAGTTAAAATAGTGTACCAACATATTGAAATAATAATTGCTTTGTTAATACGGTTTAGAATTCTTAAAATAACAGGCAAAAATAATCCACAATTTACAATAAAATAAAAGTTTCGTTTAAATTTCTTATCAGCTGATCACTATTAAAGTTCGCAGAAACCCGGGCTATATTATTACATTACTCTGAGGAAAATAACGAAAATAATCGATATTTTTGACTCCGCCCCGAAAGGTTCACGATTTGTCCTCCAGCTGGCAGCACATTTTGTCTAGTCGGTTGAGCAACTTTAAGAATATATAAACAAGGCTAATATTGATACTAACAATTTATATCAAAATTGTTGAATAGGTGCTTAAAGAGAGACCAAATAAAATAAACTGACTTGGTAGCGGAGGAATTGTGTTGCGAGACTTTTTTTACATTCTATGTTTTTTTTTTATTTCACTCTGCTTTATTGTTCTTTCAGTATTGTTTTTTATAGAGTTTCATTTATAGAAACAAAGTGGCACTTGTTGATGGAAATGGCGGTTTCTGGTTTCTATTAAACTCCTTCTATACGCTAATTTTAAAGAAATACTAATTTTTATTTTACTTCAAGGTGAGCCAGCGTTGTTGAAAACTCTAAGGAACGTAGACGCGACTTTAGCCTCAGAATTAAGAGCTAAAGTGGACTCGCCTTCATTTCCAATTCTGAGTAAAATCACGGAAAAAAGCGCAACCCTGTTGGTTAATATGATTTTGAGTAAGAAGAAATTGAAAGTGGTAAGTAAATATCAGCATTATTTAAGGTTTGTCAATTTCTGTTTTTTTTATAGAGTGAAGTTCTTACTTTTTAATTAATATACGGTATGTCCCCGGGTCTTCTTTACAAAACGAAACCCTTTTTTATTATTAAAATGTTTAGTAAGTTCATAGTAAATATAGTAATAGCACATATTAGAACAGTGTTTACAAGATCAAATTCAATTATCAAAATGTAAGTCATTTACGGCGTAGAAAGCCTTGTCTAGTAAATAAGATTTCAATGCTTTGCGAAATGAAGAAAATGATGTTATGGATTTGATTTCAAATGGCAGGTGATTGTGCATTTTTTTCGAGTTGTATAATATTGAACTTTTAACTTTAACTAACTCTGAGCGTGGGGTAGGTAGATAAAGATCTTGCTCCGGCGTTCCTGAGTGGATGGCCTTCCTTGAGAAGCTGATACATGCTTATGTATTAGGCAAACGGATTCAAATATAAATAAGGAAGGAAGAGTTAATATTTCTAATTTTTTAAAAAAGTCCTGGCAAAGAGTTCTGCTGTTTAGTCCCAGTGAATATCGAACAACTCTCTTCTGGAGCTTGAAAATGCGGTCAAATTGAGTCGCACAACACGTACCCCAGAATGGAAGAGCATATCTGACAGTTCTAGCCACTGACAACTTAAGCTTCTTAGAAACAGATCTTAATGCAAAACAGGCAGAGCTCAATTTTTTCGACAAAGCGTCAATATGCATGTCCCATTTCAGAGAATGCCCTAAGAATTTTACAGATTTTACGACATCAGTGGTGGTGTTGTTAAGTACAAAAGGCTGCAGCGAGTTTTTATATGACAAAGCTTTAGTTTTAGAAATGACTCAGGAGGATCGAATCGCACCAAGATTTATTGGTGATTAAGTCATTTGATATTATCCTATGAAGTGCCGTGACGTCCTTGTTGCTCCAAGTGAAGCTAGTGTCGTCCGCAAAAAGATTTTACCACTGATGTTAATGTTAGTAATGTCGTTAATAAAAAGAAGAAACAAAATAGGGCCTAGTAGTACTCCACATTCTATTGGCTTGCTAGAAGACGATACCAATAGTTTCCAATAGTTATCAATTATTATTATTATTTGTTTTATATCAGTCTCCCATCTATCTCTAGTAAATGACATTAGTCTCGGATACTGACTTTGTCAAAAGAAAATGCTTTCTTTCTTTGTTTGCTTGATTGATCTTAGCAACCGCTATAGCAGCGCCCTACAAGGTACGCGATTCAAAACAATTTTAGTAAGTTTTGGCGGGAAGTCGAGCATTTTAATCTAAATTTATTTCTTTTATCTATGCCTTTGAATAAGAAGACTAAGGAAGGAGTATATCAAAAATCTTAGGTCTACCGCGATGGGCCTCAAATATGGCCGACTTAAATTCCGGTTTATCAGTGCCGTTCTAATTTTATTTAAAAAATGTAAAACTATGATGTAGGGTAGACGTGGGGTAGACTCAATAATTTTTTTTTTATTTTACGTTGTGAATAAATGTTGGTAGTTATTAAAATTGGTATAAAAATATAAAATTCTAATAAAAATAGATAAGTTGTAATAATTATTTATAACCATAAACATCCGATACACTACTGAAGCAGGTAAGTCAACTTGGCGTATCTAAATTCTTTGACAAGTAGTAAATAAAGGCAAAAATGCAAGAAAAAATATATAATTAGTTAATTTAAGTGAATTTCATAAATGATCGGATTACTACACGTATGTATATTATATAGCCACTTGCTAGCGAAAAGTTGTTCCATTATTTCACTCGATTTTTGCCGAGATCTACCGCACGCTACACAACCAACTATTTTAGAGTCCTTTTCGATAAATCGCGATAGTGTCACTGTTAATTTAAGTTCTGCCACAATTTCCATCTAGATTTACTAACTTTATACAACTATCAGTAGGAGAATAAATAATACAAAATAAGCTCCGTAAAGACTGACAAATCTACAAAATTTCAAATCAAATTCAAATGTGTCAAATGGATCGTCAAACAGAACTGCCAAGGATCCCCACCCTAGAGTCCTTTTTCCGCCCACCATGCATGAATACATGGATAGCATTATGCTCCTTCCTTAGTCTTCTTATTCAAAGATCTATGCATAAGTTCAAAATGTACGTTTTCAGGTATTGAGTGGTGGCAAATTTGATCTTCAATACACGGAAGGCGAAGAAATCAATCTTTTATCGAAAAAAATCGAAGAAGTGGAAGGTTTGAAAAAAGGCGAAGAATTACTGACTTTTGTCGAAGTACCCAAACCGAAACCACAACCCACAATTGAAGATCCGCCTAAAAAAGAAGTCCATTTCGTTGCTGAAAAAGTCGAAACGACGAAAAAATCTGAGGATTGTAAGTATAGTACATTTAAAGTGACCATAATAGTCATAATTTTTATTAACGCCTAGAGAGATCTGGGACCATATTCTGTAACTTTGAAAACGCTAAGCGCTTTTAGACGCTCAGCGTATATGGCGTTAATTTTCGCTCAGCGCGCACTTAACTACCGATCAGCGCGAATTGGTTATTATAAAATGTGTTTATTGTTTTCCCGGTACATTTCATACACCATTTTATGCACACATGTTTCAGTAGGATATAAGTTATAACCTTACTTTTTCAGATAAACCTGTCTCTATGGACGACATGCAGTACACCAAGGTCACCTTGGGATTGGACATGTACTTTTGTTATAGTTGTACAGGCAGTGGCGTCACTCTTATAAGTATCAGTGAAGAAAACATGGAGTGGCTAGAAAAAATCGAGATAAAAGACCTAGAGGACCTCGAACCATATGCTCCCTCCTTCATTCCAAGCGAAATGTGCTTGGCTAAACATAACAGTAAGTTTATAATACCAAGGATGGGCGATAAAAACACAACGTAAAATAGTTATTTATGATATAAGTGCTAAAAGTGGTATTTTATTTTGTGAGAAGGGAAGCTTGGGACACGACGCCGAAGGCGTGTCCCATCCAGCTTCGAGGCACACATATCATACACTATTTTTTCATAAAACAAGTTTATGCTCGTATATATCAAGGTATTATTACTTTTTATGTTAATGAATAAGCACATCATTGCCATATCTCTTGAATTTGTTTTTATTTTAGACACTTGGTACAGGGCGGCAAATTTGACACAGGGCGCCATTGAAGACACTTACCAAGTTCTGTTCGTCGATTATGGCAACATCGAGACAGTCCATAAAGATTCCGTATGTAGATTTCCACAAAAATATGCCTCAGTGCCTATTTTAGGTATTATGACATACTTTATAGGTAAGTTACACTGCAATTATATTTTTTTTTCACCCTGTACATGTAAACAGTCTAAATAAAATGTATTTTGCAGGAATCCCACACAATGAGAAAGTTCACAATCGACTCAAGGAATTAGTAGAAGACGCTGGTGTACTAGAGGTCAACATAAAAAACGATATTAATGAGGATTTCCAATATGGCATAGAGATACCCTCGGTGTATGAAATTCTTAAGCAGGAGAATTTGATTTGAATGTTACCTTAATTCAACGTTTTAAGCTTAAAATATTTTATAAGCAAATTATTTTTATATTTTTGTTGCCATTGGTTGTAACTGTTACTTCTCTTTGTTATTAATAGAGATTTGATTTTTTTATTGTTAAATTTGACTAAGTTCTTTTAGTTAAAAAGATTTATTAGGCTAGAAAGGTATAATTTAGGTTTATAAATTGCTCATGTTCATCTTTTTATTTTTGTAAGTTTAGCAATCTTTATTTCTTTAGTTTTTAATGAAAGAGCGTTTTAATTCGTTTTTCTTCGAGATACTACACCTGCCTCATAATATTAGAAAATAAAATATCAACTTTTTTCTCTACTAGTTTTTCTTTTGTTGTGTATTTAATGGTTAAAAAGTTTTTATTCTTAATCAAAGTTAAAAAGCGGAAAATGGATATTTGAATAAAAACGTCGCATTTGGAAATAATTTACCTGTTTATATATGATCAAAATCATATTTCTAGTCTCTAGCGATCATTCATCATTGGAGTAGGAACTAACGCGTTGCCGAATAGCCCTGGCAGCTTAGGCCGTAAAATTACTAAGCTTTTTACTCTGTGCCATCCTTTATAACATAGTTTCTGTGGTCAATTTTCATTTAAATGTCAATTTTCCTAAACCCTGCCTAAACCTAAAAAATATAATTTATTTTATTTTATACCGAACTATTAATATTTAAGCTAAAATGAATCTAGCGCCTATCATTTTAAAAATTAATCGGTAAAAAAATTAGCGTGTTTTCGCCTAGAACTGTTTTAAATCCCTCTTTTTTTAGATTATGCCTGCAACCGACAGTTCAAACTCAATTTAGAGGAATTTCCACAGCAAATTCTCTATTCTTCAAAACTACTCCGTGTATGTTGTAAGTATCCGGTATCTCTTGTTAATGTTTTACAAATATATATATTAAACACACGAAAAATTTGAAGGGCTGAACCATTAAAGAGAAGGAAACGTGTTGATCCGGGCGTTGTTCGAGCAAGAGAAGAGAGGAAGAAAAGGAAACTGGAGAAACAAATTCGAAGATTGGAGAAGAACGCTAAACAGTTTAAACCGATAGAGGAGTGTGAGGTCTCTCTTACAATACTAGATGAAAAATTGTTAGTATATTTTTATATAAAAAAAAACAATTTTCAAAGTGATTATATTGCAGAGAAAGACAACGGGAAGTTGTACTATCAGAAGAAACGTTAGAAAAACGAATCTTATTAGAAAAAAAATGGGCAAACTATAAGAGAGTCCAACTTTTAGACGACCTTCAGATGATTGATCGAGTAATGTTTGCCCAACAAAGAGCACTTGACCAATTAAGAAAAGAATCCGAGGAACTTTATCAAGAAGCTATACAAGTAAGAACATTCTCTTTTTTTAAGTTTCAATGGCTCTAAGTTTGTATTTTAGCCTGACTTCCATTTAATACCATTCAAATCGGTTGGGCCTGTGGAAACTCCTTCAATAGAGAAATATGATGTGCCTGACGGTGAATACGTAGATATTTCCAAAAAATGGGAATAATGTACAGGGAAATAATTAGAAATATAGGTAATATCATTTTTTAAATTGTTTTATTTTGCAAAAAGGACTTCTGTAACATATTTTCAATATTATGTATATTAATACATGAAAAACTCTATGGGGCTCAGTTTACACCGTTTTGATAGTTATAAGATAGCCAAGATATGAATGGGGTTGAAATATGCAACATTTTCAAATGCGCCCTGTATTTCAGGAACAAATAGGCCTAGGACAAATCTATGTGTAGTACACACAGATTTGTCCCAAAGTACAGGGTGGCTCAAATTCGACGCTTTTAAATGGAAACGCCCTTTTCTATAGGAGATAGACAAAAACTAATATGGGTGTCTGGAGCTCAATTTTTATCAAAAACATGATGGTGAAAACCGCATATCGATATCTGTTACTGTAAGGACTTTTGTAACATATTTTCAATATTATAAATATATATTAATACATGAAAAACTCTATGGGGCTCAGTTTCCACCGTTTTGATAGTTAAGATAATGGTGAAAACCGCATATCGATATCTGTTACTGTTTCTGACTTACGGGGTGTTTTTCAAAATTATGCATTTTTAACAAATCGCTGTAACTTTTTTGCTATGGAAAATTTTGTATTTTTATGAAAACATTTCCAAAGCACCTTTTTACGTAGAATTTAATGGTTTAAGTATAATTTTCTTAAAATTAATAATTTAGGAATTATCAACAGAGAATTTGATTTTTTATATGGGACACCCTGTATATTTTTAATTTATTGCAAATAATTTAAAATTACCTTTCCAAAAATATAACACACTTGATATTTTGCTCGATTCCTCTTCGAGATATAGAGTATATAAAAATTCGCCCGCTTTAAATAAGTAGGCTTTGAATGGCACCAGCTGTAATGCAAAAAAATTCTAGCTGTGAGCATCAATTAAAACGAAAATAATATTTGCTATGAGAGATGCAGAATTTTATAACTATTTAAAATATATTTAACCAACATCAACACATTTAAACTATATCTAATAACAATAAAAATAAATAGCAAACCAAGACATGAGATTTTGCTGCAGGTGTTTGACATATCGACCGTCTTCTGTTATGGACAGAAGAGGCAGTTTTTGAACATTTCTCGCGGAATTCATTAACTCAGTGGGGGTGAAAGATACCCTCTCATAACTGCTAAGTATTTCTAATTCTTGTCTAGATTATACAGAAGAATAAGAAACCTTTATTCTTCCGCAAATATATCTATAGGATTAGATCCATGGGCACTAAGTCAGGCGGCCTCGACGGCCAACGGCTGGGATCTTGGTTAGCTATTCAATTATTCGTGAAATTGGCTGCAAAAATTTGCTGATAACTTCAGCGATCTGAGGCGGTGCGTCGTCTTGTTGGAAAAATATGTTTTCGAGTTCCATTAAGGGCATATCATCAATAACGGGTCCAAAGCCTACTAGCACAGAATATCTAGCTACGCAACAGAAAAATACTCGAAATGAAAGAGCTAAAATTGCACAAATAAAATACTAGATGGCGCGACAATATCATAATCAGAATATAATTGGAAATTTTCAACTTTCGGTTTTGGATCGTCGTAGATCAACAGCACGTCGACGGCCTTGAAGCTCGGCAAAATATGCACAGTTGCCAGATTCAAACAGACTTTAATTGGCAGCCCATTCTTTTTCTGGTGTATAATAATTTCTTTCTATTCTTCGTTTCTTGTTAGATACACTTATATTAATTATTCGTTTGGCTTTTAAAATTAGAATAAATTAATAAAAATAAAAAATTAATTAGAAAACATATGCTCTCAAAATACATTTTAATATACATTACTTTTATTATGTTAACTAAGAAAATAACTTTAATTACCTTTAAAATTAATAATATACAGGGCGATTGATAGTGATATTTATTAATGCTGAAACGTTAGTAATGAAATATACGTTTAATAATAATGGAAATGATTTATTAAAATGCAGTACCAAAAATGTTAATTGACTAAAAAAATACTATAATAACAAATTTTTTCTGTTTGCCATGTTATTTATATAGACCTAGGTAGATTTTAAAAAGTGACACAGGTACAATTAATAATATATTAGTTCGGCATAAAAGTTGCTGTCACGACATCGTACAATAAATTAAAATTCGTAAAATAAATTAAAATTATTAACTAAACAAATCATTATAATGAAACACAAGTATATCAAATTTGGGCCCAATCGAACGCCAGGAAATGGTATCGTAAAATGGTACTACATTATGGTACCCTTTGATATGCTTCATGGTACCATAATATTGTAATGTCATCAAAAATACGCAAGTATAGTCAAATATGAGCCCAATCGAACGTCAGGAAGTGGTATCGTAATATGGTACTATATTAAGGTACCACTTTATATGCATCATGGTACCATCATATTAAAATGTCACCGAAGATACTTACTATACCAAGTATAAGTCCAATCGTACGCCAGGAAATGGTATCGTATATGGTACTATTATGGTACCTCTTGATATGCTTCATGGTACCATAATATTACAATGTCACTGAAGATACGTAATATAAATATACCAAGTTTAAGCCCTATCGAACGCTATGTATCGTAATATGGTACTATATTACGGTATCACTTGATATGCTTCATGGTACCATAATATTGCAATGTCATGAAAAATACGCAAGTATATATCAAATACCGTCAATGATACCGAAAAAAAACGGCGTCCAGTTGGCTGGGAAAAGACGATCGATGATATTTCCCATATAAATTTACACATAAAATGACAGTGATTTTCATTTCATAGCCATCGCTAACGCCGTTTTTTCCCGATCATACGGTATGAACACAATCGAACGTCAGGAAGTGGTGTCATAATAGTAGAACAATACTTATTATATTGTCGCCGAATTACAATCAAAATTTAGGATTCAGTTAGAATCAAACGTCAGGAAGTGATTTTAATTCAGCTCGTAAGATTTAACTCCAACTAACATAGCAAGTTAAATACTTAAACGTTTGAAAAAGAGCTCTAATCTATTTTAATATGTTTAAACGATGTAGCAAATTTGAACGTAGGCTTTATCAGAAGTATTACAATATAAATTACACAATGGCAACACTGCATAAAATTCTTTTAAATTTCTTTTGTAGAAAACTGTTTTCTTTTAAATTTATCGCCCTCTGTTATGTAGTAGTGAAACTACCGCATCAAAATATCTGATTTGGAGACAGGCTTTAAAAGTCTGTCTCCTTTTGAGACCTACGATTTTTTACATGTAACGAGGCTTCTGTTGCGTAGCTAGATATTCTGTGCTACTAGTTAAAAGTGGCGAACTTTTAAAAATTCGGTATTTCGAAGGGGATTATAACCAAATATCAAGTGTGCTATATTTTTGGAAAGGCAATTTTAAATTATTTTCAATTAATTAAAAATATAGAGGGTGTCCCAAACAAAAATCAATTTTTCTGTTGATAACTCTTAAATTATTAATTTTTAAAAAATTATACTTAAACCATTAAATTCTATGTAAAAAGGTGCTTCGGAAATGTTTTCATAGAAATACAAAATTTTCCATAGCAAAAAAGTTTGTCAGCAATTTGTTAAAAATGCACATTTTTGAAAAACACCCCGTAACTCCGAAACGGTAACAGATATTGATGTGCGGTTTACACCATCATGTTTTTGATGAAACTTGAGGTCCAGACACTGATATTAGTTTTCGTCATCTCCTATAGAAAAGGGTGTTTCCATTTAAAAGCGTCTAATTTGATCCACCCTGTACACACTATGTACTATCTTTAGTTTCATAAAAAAAGTGTCTCTACTCATAAAGGAGAACCTCCATAAAACATACAAAAAAAGGGACACTCTGTACAATTTATTTGTTAGGTATTAAAAGAAACCAAATTTCTCAAAAGTTACAAAAATCATTTTATTAAAACTTACAAATACTATATAACAAATAAGAAAAACTTAACGCAATTTTATCTCATCACCGAAGAAATCTGACTCATGATAATTCTCAAGTCCGATGCATTTTTTGGAGTTAGTTTATCAGTCTTGGATACTTTTAACAAACATTTCACTTCACTTTTTAACTTGTCAATAACTTCAGATACTGAAGACTCATCTTCTTCAATATATCTATCTACACACATTGATTCGACTTGTGATTTTCTTTGGTTATTATTTATTAATTTAGGTAGTTGTTCAAGTTTGGGTTTTTTGGGAACAGGATAGTTTTCAACATTTTCACACGTTTCATTCCACTTGAGACATTTATGTGTGAAATCCTTTTGTATATTATTAACATCTATATTACTGGAAGCTGTATTTTCTAAAGACTGATATAACTTGTGTGCTATATCAGGTTGTAAGCTATCCAGCAATGTATTTAGTACCTCATTATTAGACTTATTTAAATCTTGAAGCATTTCAATGTAGTATTGCTTTGTTTCTGAATTGCTGTTAGTCTGCAATACAGTAGTTATGGTGTTTGATATTTCTTTCAAAATTTGTTTGTTACTATCATTTGAGTTAAGACCCTTCAAAAGTATGTCTATTAGTCTTAAAACTGTTGCCCAGTATCCAGTTTTACACGAGAGTAAAGTTAACTTTGAAAATATCTAAAAATAAAAATAGTAGTGTTATAATTCTTTGAATAAGAAGACTAAGGAAGGAGCATAATGCTATCCATGGATTTATGGATGGTGGGCGGAAAAAGGACTCTAGGGTGGGGATCCTTGACAGTTCTGTTTGACGATTCATTTGTCGCATCTGAATTTGATTTGAAATTTTGTGGATTTGTCAGTCTTTACGAAGCTTATTTTATGTTATTTATTATTTATTCTATTACTGATAATTGTATAAAGCTAGTAAATCTAGATGGAAATTGTGGCAGAACTTAAATTAACGGTGAGACTATCGCGATTTATCGAAAAAGACTCTAAAATAGTTGGTTGTGCAGCGTGCGGTAGATCTCGGCAAAAATCGAGTAAATAATGGAACAACTTTTCGCTAGTAAGTGACTATATAATATACATACGTTTAGTAAACCGATCATTTATGAAATTCACTTAAATTAACTGATTATATATTTTTTCTTGCATTTTTGCTTTTATTTACTAGGTACTTGTCAAAGATTAGATGTCAAAGAATTTAGATACGACAATTTGACTTACCTGCTTCAGTAGCGTATCGGATGTTTGTGGTTATAAATAATTATTATAACTTATCTATTTTTATTAGAATTTTATATTTTTATAACAATTTTGATAACTACCAACATTTATTCACAACGTAAAATAAAATAAAAAATTAGCGAGTCTACCCCACGTCTACCCTACATCATAATTATACATTTTTTAAATAAAATTAGAACGTCACTGATAAACCGGAATTTAAGTCGGCCATATTTGAGGCTCATCGCGGTGGACCTAAGATTTTTGATATGCTCCTTCCTTAGTCTTCTTATTCAAAGGTTATAATTACAGAGTTTAGAACACAATTAGTGGCAACGTCCTATCTTTACAGTGTTTACCATGCTATACAGGGTCATCCAATATTTGAAAACATATCCATATCAGAATTATAGATATTTTTAAAATGTTATAAGGTTCAAATAATAGGAAATAATATGATATGGAGATATTTTTTAACACTAGGACATTCCTGTTTATAAAATACAAGAAAACTTACTGCTTGAATATTTACAATTTGGTTTTTGATGCAATACAGTGTGATTCCTGAAATTTTGCATACAAAATATCTTAAAATGTTGTTATCCAAAACGTTGGAAGACGTGAAATTTATGTCCCAAAAGGAGATAACAAACTTAATAATACTACCCATTCGTTCATCATTACAAGGAAGATCTATTGATGAAAGTAAATCTAAACTTTCAGCCTTAAAAAATAAATAACAATTAATTATTAAATAAAATCTCCTTAATTTAAGTAAATTCTTACAATATTCAGAGGTACTTCTTCGTTACACTCAATATAAAGACGATGTATACACTGTGTTGTATTTTCCATTAAAGGGTCTATTAAACATTTGACTTGTTGAGCTGACAAATGATCAAAATGTATGAATCTCCAAATTTGAAAGTACTGCACTGGACTAAATAGTTTTACTACTTGATCTTTGAATTCATTAGGTAAACTTCTAAGCATTCGTTTAAACAAATGTCTTAGGTTAGTTATACCAGGTTGGTGAGTAAAGTATCCACAGAGCAAATCGTTTACACTGTACAAATAATTTACTAATAGTAGCATACGTTCCTCTGGTGAAATATTGCTGAAAATTGTTTATTTTTTATTTTAAAATTTTGTGTTTTGGATAAACCTCGTATTATTACCTTATAACCACTGTGTAGATTTCCAAAGCTAGGAAATTAAGCATAACATTCGGATGAAGAAGGTTTTTTAAGAGAATATCTAATGAAGAACAGTCTTTGTCTCTCAGTAATATAGCTGCTGATATGTTTAGTATTAAATCTTCATACAATTTTTGATTATTGTCGATAAGAATTAATTCCCTAGAGCCTACAAAAACCGAATAAATAAATATTACAAAACTGTTAAGCCCTGGTTGTTGATGTTTTTATGTCCTTGATGCGTTTATTTTTTTAATGTTTATTATAGTTGTTTATACAGGGTTGTTCACCACATACGACACGGAGTATTGTAGCTAAACGATTAGATTTTTACAAATTGTAAGTTTTGGGTTCGTTGAATGACTATTAGAGCTACAATTTAAAAATATTTTTACAAGATACAGAGTATCCCAAATAAATATAAAATATCAAAGTTGTATTTTTTTAAATGGAACACCCTGTATGTTATTGCATTTTTAGTTTCTAAGATTAAAATAAAGGTAAATTTGATTAAGGTTTATTACACTTAAACCTTACCGTTTTTGAAATATTTTCAATTTTGTTAAATTGCAGTATAAATTTTAAGGCTTCATTTCTCCGAGGCTATCAAAGTTTTTAATACTAAATATTTACTGAAGTTTATTTATTGATCAGTTATTGTGTTGCAATAATAAAAATTATACTACCTTATACAGAGTGTCTAAAAAATTATTTTAAATAATTACTAGCTTTAAACGGCAATAACTTGTTTAATTTAAATGGAACATCCTGTATATTTTATGAGAATCAGATGCACAATTTAATTGTGTATCAAATTGTATTATACCACTTTTTACCTATCCCTTCAATTTTTCGTAGAAAATGCATTTTCTTATAATTTAGACCTCATTTATCAACGTACCCATGGAATATTGACATTTTAGATTGTTTTTAAAACAACAAATGTACAAAATGTATAGACTAGTAATATTATCGTTTTTAGTAAAACGATAATACTACTAGCTCATCTTTATGCAAAAAGAAAAGTAAATCTTTATAAAAGAGTATACCATTAATTAAATATACCACCAGTATTTCCGCCCAAATACTAATTAATTACATACTTAATTGTGTTCGTTAATAAATTATTCTAAATAAATGTGGATTTGAATCAGAAATCAATATAATAATAAGTTATGAAAATGAACGTCTCTGTTGTTATAATAAATAAGCATTTGTCAAAAAATAAAATATCATTTTTAAGGTGTTAGTTTTTTTACCACACTGTCTAAGACACATACATAATTCAGTTTTTAATATTTGGAGCAATCAATTATTATTAATTAATGCAAGCAGTCCATTAATGTAGTTTGAATACTGGAATCATATTAATTGGTCCTTTTTACAAATATTTAAACATTTTTTCTATTTTTTAATGACATAAACGAACTATATCGACAATATTAGTATTGTATCATCCTTTAAAAATTTGTTACATCTTTAAAAATAATCTAAAATGTCAATATTCCATGGGTATATTGATAATTGAGGTCTAAATTATAAGAAAATGTATTTTCTACGAAAACCTGAAGACATAGGTAAAAAATGATATAATATAATTTGATAGACAATTAAATTGTGCATCTGATTCTCATAAAATATACAGGGTGTTCCATTTGAATTAAAGAAGTTATTGCCGTTTAAAACTAGTTATTATTTAAAATAAATTTTAGACACCTGTATAAGGTAGTATAATTTTTATTATTGCAACACAAAATTTAGTAAATTGAAATACTTCAGTACAATATTTGGTTTTAAAAACTTAAATACGCCTAGAGAAATAAAGCATCATAATTATTACTGTATTTTGACAAAAACTTAAATATTTCAAAAACGGTAAGATTAAAATGCGGTAAACCTTAATCAAATTTACCTTTATTTTAATTGTAGAAACTAAAAATGTAATAATATACAGGGTGTTCCATTTCAAAAAATACAACTTTGATATTTTTTTTTATTTGGGACACTCTGTATCTTGTAAAAATATTTTTAAATTGTAGCTCTAATAGTCCTTCAACGAACCCAAAACATACAATATGCAAAAATCTAATAGTTTAGCTACAATAGTCCGCGTCGTATGTGGAGAACAACCCTGTATAGTTCCCATACTTACATGTATGTAATACATCAAACACTGTTTCAATGATTGCCATATCAATTCCATAAAATTCTTCAGAAATATTATTCAGAATCTGTATGATTCTATTGGATAAAAATAATATTCCTAAGGAATGTTCCTTGAATGTGCTTATGCTCTGTCTATAAGTAGATATATGTTTAATGTGATCCTGCAATTTGACTGCCTTTAGTATTTTACTCTTTTATTTTGTAAGAAATCTACTTTACCTTAAAATTTGAGTCTCCCATTAACAGGTGTTGTAAGAAAATATCCAAATTTGGAAACACTTCCAAGTCAAGAATGTTTCTTAACTTAGGCTCCTGGGAAAAACTAAAATGATTTATTCAAATAGACTGAATATCCCCGAAATGTTAAAAAAACTTACGATGAAATCTTTACATAAAATACAAGCAGTTCCAATGAAAATTGTTCTAATTGCTGATAGAAGATATCCGATAGTTTGATGAGGATTTTCGTTAGAAAAATGACTATTTTTATATGACCTTTCATGCTTTCCTCGTCCTTGTTTGCTAGAGATATATTGAGTGTTTTGCAAACTAATATATTGAGAGAGTTTACCGGAATTCGAACATCCAACACGTTTCCTAATATTTCAGAATATTTTGCTGTTAATGCTCCAAAAGTTTTCCAACTGTAAATAGCTGATTTAACATCGACTTCAAAAATCTCTTGAGATATTTCACTAATTTGTATTAATGCTAAAACATTTTTTTACTATTATTATTCAATTATGATAAATAAGACTTATATAAAGTAGAAGTTTTTTTATCAGTTGGTTTGTTTGAAGTCTGAAGAGATAAAAACTTACTCTTTGTTAAAATACTAATACTTGCATCATTTTCTTCTACTGTAACAGAAAATTCTAATATATTTAAAAGAATTTCATACAAGTGTTTTAAAACTTCCACTAACTTAAATAATTCCTCAGTAAAAACATTTTTGTATTCATCAGATCTAAAAAATATATAAATCGTTTTAGTCCAATAATGAATGAAACTTGTATACAAGATTTAATAATAATCTTTCTATAAAGACAAGAATTAATAAGTATGTAATACTTTACGTACATGGAATCCCAATGTTTGAGAAAATATATAATACTATTTAATAAGTGTTTTAAAACCAATTCAATGTTTTCCAAATATACTTTGTCTTTCTGGCAAATTAAATTTAATACTTCCTGGTACATTTCAGTTAGATTAAAAGCTACTTCTAAATTATCCCTCACCAATACATTAATTATTGGATCTTCTGTAGTTTCTGATAATGAGAAATTATCATTGTAGATCTGTAAAGCAAAAAGATTGTAAACTTTTTCTACATCTATTGAATTTAAAGAAGTTTACTTGTTTAAAACGATCTTCGACTGCTGGCAATACATTATTAATTAAATCTTTTTGGGTATCAAAGTCATCGACATTGTGAATAATCTCCTTTAAATTAGTTACAAAGTCTGCGTTCGATATGCCAACTTGCAAATCCTAAAATAAAGTGATTTACATTTTACGTATACTTTAAAACATTAAAATTATTAGTTTACCATTTCTTGTTAAAAGCTTTAAAATTATTTATTTAATTAAAATTGCTGTGTTGCTGTACTCGTTTATTTTTGTTGTTGTCTTTGTCTAATAAGTATAAAAAGAAGAAGAACATAACTTTTATTCTGTGGTCGCTGTTCTTTTACGACCTAAAATTCGAAAAAAATTGCCGAATAGCCCTGGCAGCTCGGGCCGTTAAATTAAAAACGAAAAAGAAGAAGAATTCCGGTGGCGCCAGTGTGGAAAAAGTGAGAACATTTTGAATTAAAGTGTTTTTAATTAAATTTGAAAATTGTGGCGCTAAAAGTTGAACAGATACATCCGGTACGTTGAGTCAAGTTAAAGACTTTTGAAGTTATTTATTTATATAATAATTTATCTCATATATCTTACTATTTAACTATATAGAATTAGATTATTATTAAACTAAGGAATATTTATTGAATAAAAACACTTAATAATAAAATAATAAGTTTTGTATGATATTTTATACTGGAGGGAATAAATACAAATAAAGACAAATCATTGAATTCATTAAAGAAGCATATTCTGCTGAAATTTTAATAAAAACCATCCGTGTTTATTAAAAAAAAGTTAAAATCAAGGCATCCAAGAGCAAAAAATACTCGATCGTGATTGGTCAGTTTCGGTCGCGTGGAGGTTTTGAATTTTATTCTCGTTCTATGTTGCCAGATTGTTAAAAAATGTCGAGAATCTTTTTTTCTATGTGATTTTTGTGAAATTGTATGAGTTTAAATTGATCACTGATACTATAGTAAGGGCCATTTCTATATATTTTTAATAGAACAAGTACCAGTAATGTTGTTTTGTAGAAATTTCTTTTATTTCTTCTTGTAATTACGTACTAACATTATAGTCTTTATTCTTGGTTTCGATGTATTTATAGCATTAAAAATGTATTTAAACAGCTTCATTTTATGTTTATTTCATGATTTTTGTGTGTTTATGTTTATAATTACTTATTTGTTTCTTATTTATGACAATAAATATTTTACCTTACGTAAAAAAACGATTTCAGTGGAACGTATTGAGTAAATAATAACTTTTGAGAACAAAATTAAGCTTAATTTACAAGAATTTTCCTATAAACAATTTTTTGTCATACGCTCCCAAAAACAGCTATTTTACGGACTCATTTCAGTCCGTAAAATGTTTCTTTTTCGGCCTAGGCCGTAAAGGTCGTCATGGCAACCTTTATGGACTAAAATGTCTAAATTCGTTATTTGGTTGTTTTATTTTGTCATTCGAAATTTGTCACAAAATCACATAAAATTATACATATATTTTATATTAAATTATTAAATACTAACAATATCAAAAGCTAAGTTATTTGTTTAAAGTAAGTACCTAGGTACTTACTTTTTCGTGGAAATAATTTAGCAATACATCTTCATTTACAACGAATACGCCATTTTTGTCTTTCCATTCATTAAAAACATCATATTCTTTCTGGTAAATGGCACGAGACTTCACAGGAAGTAAATCCAACACGATTTCTTTGGCCTTATTAGCAATATGTTCGGGATTTTGGAACATTTTAAAATTGTTGATGAATTTGTGTGATTTTGTGACAAATTTCGAATGACATGTCAAAATGCGATGAAATAAACAAACTCGTTACTAAGATATGAATTTATAAGCCAACTTTTTCAAACATTATAATTTCAAATATGGAAAATTTGCAAATATGCGTTCTAAAAAACTGTAAAAAGCGTATGACAAAAAATAGTGTATGTAACACGTACCTAAATTATGTTTTTTAGGACTCATCTACTATTTCGGACTCGGCTAACGCCTCGTCCGCAAACAGTAATGATTCGTCCTAAAAAACATCATTTTAGGTACTAGTTACATAAATAGCTATTATTAGTAATAAATAAATTAATTTTATGAGCAGCTTAAATTTTACGAATGGCTTCAATCTGGCAACGCCGGTCCTCCTTTGGTCGTTTGCAATTGAAGGATCCGCACGTCCTCCCGTCGGTTGCACCGATTTTTTTTAATTTTCTGACGAAAAAGTGCGTTTAGTGTACACAATTTATGCGTAATCTGTTACTAGTGCCCTGCTTAGCCTCCTGAAAAAGTGAGTACCCGTAATTTTATGTATTTTTTGAGATATTTTATTTTAAAATTTTTGGATTTCACAATATCCATCATGGCTGCCTTTTTCTCAATGTTCCCCATTAAGTTATTAATTTTTAAGAATATTGTTTAAATAATATACGTAGATTAATAAATAAGTATGTAAAACTATGTATTTTCGGTACTTTCTATACTGCGTGTTACATAAGGGTAAAATAGAGTACTACGCATTTTTGGTAAATTGCGTAATGTATCTTTGATTTTTTGTTTAATTTTTTCGGTCAAGGAATGTTTAAATAAAATGGCCGCCTGTTGGAATTCGATGTCTTGATTTTTTCTAAATTGCTATTTTTATTTTAAATTTCTTTTTATAGGGCATATTTGGAGTTTTCTTTATTTTTTAAAAATATAATATGCGCATTTTAATATTTTGAATGTGTATGTTATTTGTATTGTTTTAAATAGGGAGGTTCATTAGGAATTTTATTACGTATTTTTTTTTTATTTAAGAATCCTACATAGTGTTTATGTTTCAGCATTTTTGTAATGATTTCTGATATTGGTATTTTAAAATATATTTCTCTTTTAAAGCGCGTTATGTAATATTACATGTTAAAAAATAGTATTAATGTTGACAAATGATTTTTGCTAATTCAGTATTAGTTGTAAATTTGCATTGAAGAAATAAATCAATTGTTATTGAATTTTTATAAAAATTAAAATATTTCGAAAACAGTCAGTATGATTTTAAGGTAAATTTTGATCGAATGTTTTTTGTGTCTTCATAGTAGAAACTAAAAATGTAATAAAATATATAGGATGTCTCATTGTTAAAAAAATATAACTAATATTTTTATTTATTTGAAACACTGTAGGTTTAACTTTTAGCTCTAAATAATATGTTACAATTCTCAACTCCTTGTGTAATTTTATTTTTTTATGTGTTACATTATGGAAAAATTCTTTGAATTTTGACCATATTCATCAAATTTATATCCCTTTTTTCTGTCATATACCTAACAGCTTTATATTTTTGACATTTTTGGTATAATAATCAAGAGAAATCTTATAAAATATTGCTGAGGTATAAATGGAGCATCTCTTTTTTCATTTAAAATAAATATACCTATTTATATATTGTCGTAATATTTTTATAGATGTTCGATAATATTTTTATAGGTATTCCAATATTTTTTCTTTTTTTAGGCGCGTTATATTAATACTACAACACCACACAGTCCTTCCCCACTCACACGAGCATTGCTAGCTCTCTGTGTTGGTTAATAAAATTTCCTAATTCAACATTAGTGAATTTCGTTAGCTGATGCAGTTGGTTAACAGTGTTTTTGTCGGTTTGGATCCCCGGCTTAAGATGACTCCAGAGCGCGGCGCGGCCTTCCCCAAGAGAGGAGACTTCTTGGGTCACCCCCTAACCCTGATGTTCGGGCATCGATGACCTGTGTAGCATGCAGAGGTACCCAAAGTCACCACCCTCTGATTTACGAGCTAGGTGTTCTAATGCTAGAGGCTTCGGCCGGATACAACCTGGCACCCAAGCTCCGAGATTTCTTCGTGCACGTATTCCGTGACCCTCGAAGGGGCAGGGGGCGGGATATCGGACACATTGAAGATGATGAGGGGGGGTCCGCCTGTAGGGGTCCCGGTGGATGTCCGTCCGACGGGTGACGAGGGTGACCCCAGACGAGGCGGCTTAATTGGGATGGGAACTGACTGGTGAGGCTTAATCGTCGACCAATGGGTCGAATCTGCATAAGGAAGGCAACCAGCACACACTCGCAGGCGGATCGTGAAAACATTTTTTTGTTTTTTCTCTTGGTCTGCCCCGCGTCGAATTTTGAAGGCAGAAAATGTCGGGAGGAGGCGAGCATAACCAGGCCTAACTCAAACCTGTTAAAAGTAAGACTAATTATTTTATATTACATTAAACTGTAAACTTTTACTGTACTCTCTACCAAATAACTTTTTTATCGCACCATGTAGCAATCAAAATTCTTTTTTATATTAAGTGTTGTATATTTTAGTTTTTTTGTTACTACAATTTAAAGTAGAATAACTTGTATAGTAATTAGAGCAACTTTTTAAAACTTATAGTAGATATAAGTTTAAATTCTAATTTAACTTGTAGTTACTTATATAACTAATTTTTTTTCATTTTTTAGGACAACCCGGTTTCGCAGCGCGATTTTAAAAAACAAAAATGAAGAAGTCAGAAATTCTATCTACATGCTGCATATGATCAGTCCCAAAAATTTCGGATTGTTCCAGGCACCGTCGAATACCTGGAAAACGTGTTTATTGTCAACTCTACAGGATCGACCGAAGTCCATGGAGTTGGGGGCATTCGATGTGCCCCATAGCAGTGAGACGCCACTGTTTTTTCGCCGATAATATAATTATTATGGTGGGACTGAAAATGAACTTAAGCAAGATGTGATGGTGAGTTTTTTATATTTTTACATGGTTTTTGTCTAGAGCTTGTTTTTTGTTTCTTCTAGCATATGTATTTGTTAGAAATATTCTAATATATTTTTTTCTCTTACAGGTGATACAGTATGGCTTGGAGAACTTCAAAAGTCGGTTCGCGTCGTGGTTCCAAAGCAGTAACTTTAGGTTCCTACATTTTACAAAATGTTGCATTAAGTACTCATTTTTAATTTGCAATTTTTACATTCATTTTACTTTTTTTCTTACTCTATTATAGGCTTTAATATCAAGTTTTTTTAGCAATAATAAATGGGCAATAAAAAAATAAGAGAGAAAATTAGGTAGCATATTATTGTTTTTCAATTATATTTGGAAATAACTATGTTTCGTCTTATATTAAAATTGATAATATTTAATATTTTTAATAGTGGTTTTTAATTAAACGTAAATTAGTAAATAATGTAATTTTACATTATAATGAGAATTAAAGTATTAGTAATTTATTTTTGTTACTAAAATTAAATTCAGTTTGTTCCTGCATAAATCTTTTTAGTACTAAACTGCTTTGGAATGAATTTTTTTGGGGGACAACAGCAGGATTAGGGCCATCTTCTAGATGCCATCAGGTAAATTTACATAACTTTATATTTATCATATTCTTTGACTAAAAAAAGTGTTTTTCTTTTTTTAGGTAGGTGCGCTAGCGTAGTCCTTTGTTGTAGCATTATATCCCTTTTCCTCCTTTTTGAAAAATGTTTGTAAGACGCCTGAAATTTGTATAAGTTAGTTATATAAGTAGTTGAATAAGAATTGGTGAGACTGGGAAAATAGAAGAGGACAGAGAAGATGGAAGAGGATTGCTTTGAAATAGAAGGAAAGGAGATGGAAATGTTTGAGGAAAGGAGGAGGATTTTGTTCGCTGTAACGGAAGTTTTTTGAATGAAATTTGGAGCAACTGTATTAAGGTAATTTTTTTCATCTAGGTACAAAAAATAAATACCTACTTATCACAACTTTTATTTTTTTATAGATGTTATTGATATCTTGAACATCAAGTTTCATTTATTTATGTATTATGCAAGCATATCTATTGGTGGAAATGTAGAATGGCAGCTGTTATAACAACTTGGATGAATTATTAGAAGCACCAAAGAAGTTTTGACATTTTAATAACTGGGAAAAGGCTCACAAATGACCAATTTATTCTACATTAGATACAGGACATTAAATTGACTTCAACAACGCACATATCTCTCAAAAATGGTAAGTTTTTTTCACATTATTTTCTTTCCTATTAAAGTTTTGGAAAGCTTGGAAGTTATGACATATTTTACACATAATGTCTATATTTCAATAACTATAGGTGCAATATTTAATTTTAAATTTATTAGGAGAATTTTTTTATTCAAATCAACTTAATTTTGTATATTACAATGTTTTCTTATTTATTTTAATTTTCTACATTGATACAAATTAATATACTTATTAATATTTTTTTATTTTTAGATATCTGTTCGAGTGATGTACTGGGCGTTAACAGTTGCTGTTACAAATTTGCAAATGAGTTAGAACCGTACATAAGTTTGATGAATGCCAGAGGAATTTTTTGAATGGAATGATACTGAAAATCTTACACACAAATGACAATTTCAAGATACAATCAATAGAACTCAGATTGATTGGCCTTCATTACCATTGCGCTATGAAAATGGTAAAGTTATTTTTTTTTTTAGGCTACAATTTTTGTATTTAACTACAAAATTGTAGGCTTCAAATTCAAAATAAAATAATTTTGAGATTGAAAATATATTAATATATATATATATTTTTTCAATCTTTGTAGTTATTTACAAATTTGTATCAGACAGTTTTAATTTTATTTAGTATGTTTTCTTTTGTAAAATCTATGAATATTTGACAATATTTTAAAGAGTTACTATTGCGTTTATTTTTTAATATTTACCTAACATATTAAAAAAAAAAAATATTTATTTTATTCCAAAATGTGTGAAGAAAATGACTATAAAAATTTACTTATTTATTTTTTGTATTATTTTTAGTCAGCAATACAAATTGGTATTAATGGACGTTTTGACAGCTGTTTCCAGTCCAAGTTCCAGTTAATGGAAAATCTTTAATGGACACAGAAAAATGCCATTTACTGGATTGACTTCAACACCTGTTGCCTTTTAATAATGGTAAGTTATGCCTCTCAACTTATTCTTATAAAATTTAAAAATCTTATAAAACTGGTCTTTTGGTCCAATATTAACATGCTCTATTTTTTTTCTGTTTTTTTTATAACTAAAACAATAATAAAAAGGATTATTAAAAGACATGACAAAATGAAATACAGACACGGTATTACTGGTTGCATATCAGCGATCTTGAAAAAAAATGCATTTTTTAAATCTGGTTTTAATAATTATTAAAGTTTCCACTAACATAAGCACAATACAATTACGGTATGGTAAATATAAGTTGATTTTTGTTATTTTGATATTTTTAGTACAGCAGATACCTTATTTATATTTTTTTCGATCGGTAAAACCGCAACTATTAATATAAAAATTATAATTATTTTTTATTAGAGTCTATTTAAGGTCTTTATTGTTTGTGACTTATTTAAATTGGTATAATAGCCGTATATTTATGATTTTACATAGTTCTAAACAAGTTCTAAATATTAACAATTTTTTTTTTGTTTTTAAAAATCGATTCATTAAAAAATTGCTTAATTTTTTTTTGTACTTTTAGTGAGCTGAACAAATTGATGGTAATGGACATTTTGACAGCTGCAGTCACAACTCAACGAACAAGTTGCAGCTTTGAAGAAAAATTTTTGATTGGATACAGAAAAATGTCAGTCGTTTCAGGATGTAAAGTTAATAGAACCAGGGTTAGGCTCGACATCTGTTGCCATTTAATAATGGTAAGTTATTTTGATCATTTTATATACAGGGATATTCATACAACTGGTTCATTAAAAGTTTTTCACGGTATATATTTTTCTAAGTCTATAACTAGTTTAATTTAGACTAAATTTCATCTTAAAACACTTTTAATGAGCTAGTTACGTGAAATACCCTCTATATATTTTTATGAATTGGCATTGATAAGCTTGAAAATTCTGTATATATATATATATATATATATATATATATATATATATATATATATATATATATATATATATATACTTATATATATACTTATATATATATATATATAATTTTATATAATTTATATATAATATAAATTATACAGGGTGTTTCAAAACAAATGCGAAAAACTTTAGGGGGTGATTCCTTGTTCAAAATAAAGGGTAGTTTGCTCGATAAACGTTGGGTCAAAAGTCAACCATTAGGGAGATATCGCGGTACAAAGATGGCGGAAAAATAATGTTTTTATTTTTTATCTTGAAAACGAAAAGAGATAGACTAATGAAATTTTATGGAAGCATTACTGTTATGAAAACACACTTTCAAGTAATTTTTTATTTTTTTTTAAAATGAGTGGAAGGGGTCGAAATAAACTACCCCTATCATTCTTGTTAACGAAATTTAAAGAAAAATCTTATCAAACACATGCAAATGCTTTAATTTGGATAGTTTAGTTTGTTTAGAAACTTTTTTACCTCTTGTATTTTTTGATAAAACTCACCGATTGGAAATTAAAAAATAAAATGTAGATCATTACATGTCAGGACAAAAAACATTTTTAGATTGAGAATCTAGTGATAATAACGATAATAATAATCATCTAGATAATAACGTATTGCAGTAGAGTAATGTCAAATAAAATAATATTAGGAACATCCTAAAAAGTATCAGCGGCCGACTAGATTTTTTCCTAAAAAAATTACATCAGCCCACTAGATTCTTTATCAGAAAATGTTTTTTGTCCTGATATGTAATGCTTTACATTTTATTTTTTAATTTCAAATCGGTGAGTTTTATCAAAAAAATACAAGAGATAAAAAAGTTTCTAAACAAACTAAACTATCCAAATTATTTTTTTTGCAAGTGTTTGATAAGATTTTTCTTTAAATTTCGTTAACAAGAATGATAGGGGTAGTTTATTTCAACCCCTTCCACTCATTTTAAAAAAGTAAAAAAATTACCTGAAAGTGTGTTTTCACAACAGTAATGCTTCCATAAAATTTCATTAGTCTATCTCTTTTCGTTTTCAAGATAAAAAATAAAAACATTATTTTTCCGCCATCTTTGTAGCGCGGTATCTCCCTAATGGTTGACTTTTGACCCAACGTTTATAAAGCAAACTACCCTTTATTTTGAACAAGGAATTACCCCCTGAAGTTTTTCGCATTTGTTTTGAAACACCCTGTATAATATATATTATATATAATATGTATAATATATATTTTAATTTTTTTTATTTTGGAAGTTAGAATTTTCATTGAAAAAAAAAAGAAATTAGAGGGTTTTAACTCAAGTTTTAATGATTTTTTTTGTATATTATTTTTATCTATTTTTTAATTTTACAGAGTAATAACATAACATACATAATAACAATAAAATGTATTAAAACTTGACAGGAAACCCTATAATTTATTTTTTAATGAATGTTATAGCTCAAAAAATAAAAAAGATAATTGAACAATGCGTGTATTACTGGTTGCATAGCCTTTTTTTTCTAATTATTAAAGTTACCACAAAAATAAATTTAATAATTTACTAGTTATTGCTAAATATTTTTTTTATATATATCTAGTAAATTAGATATTTAATTTTTTGGTCATTAATAACTCGTTATAATAATATATTACTTTCATATCAAGGAAATTTAGAATTTTTATATTATTTCTGAAGTTATCAATAAAAGTCTTTCTTTTAATTTTATGTAACTCTTTATAACTTATTCAAATTAATTAATTAATAAATTATTTTAGATAGTTCCAAATATTAAGATAATTTTTGTTATTGTCTGTTTTCTGATAGCTTCAAAAATTGCTATAATAAAAAATTCCTTAATATATATTTTTTATTTAGGTATACGAAAGGACAATTGCTATTAGAAACAAAAAAGTTCTACTAGCTGCAACTAATAATTTATGGTGGCCATAAAAGAGATTTAAATGAAATGAAACTTGTGCAGAAGAAATCGAGGAAAACCATTTTGAACTGCTGTTACTTAATAGCTGTTAGAGGGGATCCAGTTCTTCATCAATGGTAAGTTATTTATCTATCTTATAAAATTTCATTGGACAGCTTGAAAATTTTTAAAATTTCCTAATATTCGAGCGCATTTGCTCCAATATTAGAACAGCCAACGACTATTAAAAATAAGCAGGACAAAATAAAATGCTGATACTGTATTACTGGTTGCATATTGTTACGGATTCCGTGGGTCCGCTAATTTAAACTCACGATAAAATACTTAACGGATTTATTTTCTCACAATTTATACTGATTACAACACACAATTAACTATTTAAAAAAATCCTTCGCCAAATTGTCAACATTCGCTACTCAAAACTGATTTGAAATTACAAAACTCGTTACGCACACCTTGACGATATATTAAAGTTCCCACTAGAATAAACGCCATAAATATATATTTTAATAAATATAATTTTGATTAATCTTTTTTGTTTTGTTTTTTATTAATCTTGTTTTCAAAAATCTTCAAAAATTGGTATAGTAAAAATTTACTTAATATTTTTTTGGAATTTTAGGTATACGCTGGGACAATTGCTGTTAAAAATCCACAGCCGTACTATCTGCAAATATTATGGTGGACAGCCAAAAGCTTTAAATGGAATGAAACTTGCAGGAAAAGACTCAGAAAGACCATTAAGGACTGTACTTAATAGTTGTTAGTGTGGTCGAAGTCCTTTGAGAATGGTAAGTTATTTATCTCTTTTTTCTTACTAAATTTCATCGACAAGCTTGAAAATTATGATAAGTTTTCATAATATTCAAGCTGCACAGGTCTCTGAGGTCAACGTCTATTCTTATCATATATATATATATATATATATATATATATATATATATATATATATATATATATATATATATATATATATATATATATATATATATATATATATATATATATTAACTCACATTCTTATATGTCATTTATTAAAAATTGATATAAAAAAGCTTTTTAATAAATAAAAATAATATTTAATTGAAAAAAGGAAAAAGGTTTCAAACATACCGATTATTATCAAAGGTGAAAACCTTAATTTAGAAAACTTTTTTTTAACATTTTATTCTTTAATTTTTTATAAATCTTTATACCAATTTTTTATAAATGATATATTGTTGTCTACCTGGCAGAAATAATAATTGTCATCAATTGTTATTTCAAAAGCCACTATAATGCTGTTTTTTTTTCTTAGGGTATATAAAAATTATTAATTTAAAAAACATAGTTATTGCATTAATAAAAATATATTTATTTTAATTTTTACATAGATCGTTTTATTCCTTTTTTTAATATTATTTTATTTTTATTTTTTAGATATCTGCATTTTCTTAACAATGGATATCCAACAGTTGCTCCTACTCCTCACTTTCCTCTTTCACTCAACATAAAGCAGACTCAATACTCCCCAATGCCTCACCAAGGTTCGTTAGCTTCATTAATAGTGTTATTGTTTCAATAAATTTGTTTACTGGTTTTTATCCTCTTACTATATATAATTATATCAGGCGTCATTTTAATGTTAATTTTTTGTAAAATTTTGATAATCTGGATAGAACCCTTTTTTTCTTAAGCTTTTGCAATATAAAACACTAGTTAAGAGCAATACACTTCACTTTATGAATAGGGCCATTATCTCTGTTGATATTGTCTTTATATTTATGCTTTGTGTTGCCTCTAGTTTGAGGGATGTTTGATTAATTTTAAATCATTCAAATCAATGCAATAATCTTTTATCTTATATTTACTTCCATTAGTTCAATCATTAAATTGTTATTAGATAAAACTATATTGTATTCTGGATTTCGTCAAAGGTATTTTTTAAAAGAATTAAAAAACAATCTTTATAGGCTCATTTCCAATTTATTTTTATCTTGTATTATTTATATTTTTCGAAGCTTCTCTAAGTTTATTCCAGATTATCAAAATTATAATTTTTATACTTGCGCAGCTGCGTCACTATAGTCCTATGAACACAAGTATTATTTTGGTTTTAAAGTTTATGTTTTTTAATATTTCATTTATTGTATTAACGCAAAACTAAATTTTATAGAATTTAACTAACTATATCTTCAACCGGATGATAATTTAATAGCTAATGGTCAATTTAATATTTTTTCATAAAAATTAAATGTGATTATTGAATACCAATATCAAGCCGGTAGAAATTATTTATCAGTGTTTATTTTTTTGAAATAATTTTTTTATTAAATCAATTTTGGATACTTGTGTTCATATATTTTTTTTTGCTTTTGAGAATTATTTTTGGCACCCTAACAGATGTTTTTAATTAATTTATATGATTTTAAAACATTTATGTTTATATCTATTTTGTACTTAAATTTTAGTGATAAAGTTTGTTTCTTTAACACAGAGAGCAATGCACTTCATGCATTGTTTTCTTTTTCATGTGCAGAATTCTCTTTATATACAGTATGTCCTCAGAACGTCTTTACAAGAGCAAAAGCCTTTTTTTATTAACATTTTCATAAAAAATACATTCCTTATAAAATATTTTTCTTTTTAATATTTTCATTTCAATTTTTTTAACAAATATATTGTGAGCACACATTTTAAAATTATTTTTGGTAGATATACTGTGCGATTCAAGTATATTTATACTAAAATTGTATTTTTTTTAATGCAATGTTTTTTTAATGTATGTACTAATTAATATACCACTATAATCCATCAAAATTGCTTAAATTAATTATTTTAGAAGAGTTCAATTGAAAATAAATACATGAATTTTAACCTTTAGTATTACTGGTTGCCTAATCGATTCTTATGTAATGTTGTGGTAATGTTTTTATTACTTAAAAAAAATATATTTCCAGAAGTAATTTTTTCTCTCAATTTTAGTAGGTATTTAAAATGTCTCTATCCTGTCATATTTATTTAACATATCTATTAGACCTCTATGACCCATCTGTCTCTGAAAAATACAAACTGCTGTTTGCTATGTGTTAATAAAACCGTTACACTTGCGTTTAAGATAATTAATTACATCTTATCTTTTTAATTGCTATATAATTTTTTTATAAAATATGAAACAAACTTTATCTTCTAAAATTTATGAATTTTACATATGAAAATGGTCTGCTAGGGTATATAATATATATATTGTAGGATCAATTGAAATATAATAAGCGATAATATAAAAATTAACATTTGTATATACATATTTGTTAAATATATAATTTTAAGATAAAACACATTGTTACACAAAAATGATAATTCTAGTTTTATATGTGGCATATCTTTTTTCAGTTGGTCCTTCAACATTTGAAATCTTTTGACATATATTTCATTCCACTTAAATGTCACAAAAAATATATTTTAATACCAATTTTGTATGTTATTTCGTGTATTAGAATTTTATAAATACTGTTTTTAATATTTTGTTAATAATAGTGATCTATAGCTTACCTTTGCTATCTGTAATAGGAAATATTTCTAAATATTTTTTGTTGAAAATAAATATTACTTTATAACATTTATTAAGCAAAATAAATTTGAAGATCCCTATTATTATCAAAGAGATATCATTAAAGTATTTCAATACAATATCTTTTTATATTATTTTCAAACGTCACAAAACCGGACAAAACTATTAATTTTTGCGACATGATGACAACAAAGATTGACATATAAAAAAGTAATTATTACGCTTAAACACAAAAGTGCAAAAATTATTATTAAACTGTTAGTTATTTATTATTATTAAGTAGTGTTATTATTATTAAAAATTATTAGTTTCTATGATATATAATTACTTACAACATATTACTTTTAAATATTTTTATATTTTTTGCGACGTTTGAAATTGTTTAAAACATTATTTGTGACGTTTGAAAAAAGAACATGTTCTATTCGGAGTAAAAATGACTTTTAGTGTCTCGCCTGTACTGTCGAACGTACAGTCTCGCCGCAAAAAGTATCATTTTTACTCCTAATAAAACAATATACCGTATGATCGAAAAAAAAGTGGCTTGGAAATGAACATCAATTACATTTCCCATATAATTTTATATATAAAATGACAGCGATCTTCATTTCATAGCCATCGCCGACGCCATTTTTATTCGATAATATTGTACTATTTCTGTACAAATGTTATTATCTGTTTTCTATATATTATTGTGATCTATTGGCTGTATTTTTGTTATAAAAATGTTTTGTATACATCTATATTTTGTAAGCGTTTTAGAGGTTCCGAGCACTACATTTACAGTCATTTCTTTTTTCATTTCAAATATTTTTTTGTCGTGTCAAATAATTAATCAGCTAACTAAGAATCTTTTTTTTTAGTAGTTAAAAAAGAATAATTTATATTACCACAGAGTGGCCCAATGTTACAAAAATAATCATGTTAGGTCTTCAGTTTGAGATTTTCACTGAATTTTTTTTATAAAATATACGGGTTACAGTAGACCATATTTTAAAGCCAGTTCATAGTGCGTAGATATACACAGGGGGTTTTTAATATATTTTTGCTTTATATTGATAGTATTTAAATGAAATGTTATTCAAATTTTAATTCTATTGTTATTTTAGATTTTTCCTGTACATTTTTAAAGCTTTCACAAATTTATAAAGTCGTATTATTTTTTAATTGAAAATCTACATATATAAAATGCTAATGTTTATCTGTGTCGACTCTACTGAAGTAACGACTTGCTCTAGAAAGTTGCTTTTTTTACTAAAAGATAGCTAATTGGCTCTTTAAAAACTGTCGTCGCCGGATTTTTTGTTTTTCATTTAATTAAAAAAAGAAAATAAAAAGTATTTTGTTTCCTGATGTCGTGGCGGATGCGCCAGGCTTCAACTAGTATTTTATATAACAAGATCAAAACAAATTATACTAAATTACTTTATACGTTGGTAACTTAATATAATATAATGTCTTTCTCTGCTATATAAATAAAACACCCTTAATTTTATAATAATGTATTTTATAAATAACAAAATTGTGGCATTGTTAATATTTAGAAATTAAATATATCCAGATATTTGAAAGTAGAATATATTAAAAAAATTATGCTTAAGTAATTACTACTTCAAATTAGTAGATTACATTAAATAACATTCTTATGAGCTGATACTGTTGTTTTGTATGCATCTGGCAAGCTTTTTCTGGAATAATTTATTTAATTAGCACTTATCAATTATCTGAACTAATTTTAAGGCTGTAAACTGTAGTTTTGGAATCTTTAAATATTTCAGTCAGTGATGGGATTAAGATCTGTAATTGTGTAATGATTAATCCACCACTGTACTCCAGTAGAAAATTGTGTAAATTAGTTATATAAAGCTCATTTTACGTAGAAAAATCATCTGAAAATAGTTATCTCAATTTTTCTTTAAATTTTAGTATAACTGGTTGCCTAATCGATTCTTACTCATTCAAACACCTTAAAAGTTAAAATTTGTAGAATAATTAATATATTTGTTTATTGCTTTCTAAGTATTGCTTTCAAATTTCAATTAAAAGAAAAAATCGTTTAAATTACTACAGGGTGGCTCAGTGTTAAATAAACTAGGTGTTCTCTTTGAGATTATCACTTCAATCTTTTTATTACAAAATATGCGGGTAATATTAGAGCACATATTAAAGCCATTTAAAATTTCACTTAACTAGAAGTTTATCTTGTTATTTAATATGTTTTTTATTTATTTATCAACTATTCACTTCAGTTTTTTTTGTATAATTTTAATTCATGTGATGAGCGATTAATTAATTTATGCAATTTTTAATTTTATATTAGTTTAAATGGAAAATGAACAACAAACTTCCATTGTTTAAATGTTTATTTAAATTGTGATCAAGGAAAAACTAACGGCTATGCTCTAAATTATAACGCAATGTTTGGTACACTCATGTGAATGGTATTTGTCACTTCCTCATGAATGGGTATTTTCCGTCATTTTATCATTTCCACTTTGTGTGCTTTAATTGAAAGTATTGGCACTTGCTAGGAAAAGTTTATCAATCAATAATGTTATACAGACTGTCCATCTCGCTCATAGTAAGGATATGACATTGCAATTTTTATAAACTTGATTTTTATGAAAAATAAAGTTGCCACGGTTCCCTTTTAGTTTCTATGATACAGGGTGATTTTGAAAATGTTACAGTTTCAGATACATCTCCTATTTAAGTAGTCTGACAACTTATCAATAAGTTTTAAAACATATTGCTATGGAACTTCTTTTTTTAATTTCTTTAAATAATTTATATGTTTTTTTTTTAAATATCGACCAATGTTTAGTTTGTATTAATGGGACAGCCCGTATATTTTTCAGGAAATTAATATATCTTCTCACAAGCCACCATAAGTCACAGTTTTTAATTAGAGGTAAAACAGTTTAATACAAATTTTGTTATATCCTATGTCATGGTTCTTAGTATTTGTATTTTTAGTTCTTTATTGTTTAAACTTTTCATTTAAAAATTAAATAGATCAAATTTGGTTTCGCCAATTAAAAGATAAAAGCAGCATTGTTTTGGCATGGTCCTAATAAATTTTTATTGGTATTATTTTAAAATTATTAATTCTGCATCTTTTAACTAAAATATACTGTTAGATATATTTTCAAAGCTTGTGAAGGACGAAGTTAATTTTTTTGACAAGTGTACAGGGTGTGTGATGAAAATATTAAGAAAAAACCTATTCGTATGTCTCTGGTTCCACCTAATATATTCTAAGTATATGAATCTGTTTTTATTTTTTTTTTCAGACTACTGATATAATATGAAGTGTGTGTAAAACTGCAACGCATTGTATCATGGAAACTAAGAGGGCCATGACAATTTTGTGTACTGTATCTTTGCTTTCAAGAAAAAAATAATGGGTTCATTTAAGTAACGAGTTCGACATTTAGTATTCTTTACTAATAAGCGAGAAAGCCCTTAATTGCAACTAAATATGGAAATGACGAAACCGTTTAACATGGGTGTCTCATGTTTTATAGTGTTTCTCCCTTATGAACGGAGATAGGAAGTAGCGGTTTTCGCAGTGGCTACTAATTTTTTATAAAATACCCTACGGTGTAGAAAAACGGCGTCATGAACGGCTGGGGAATGACGATGACAATTTTTGCGAACTCAAGCTGGTTGTAATTTATTTTTATATTGAATAAAAACGATTTTTAAATGGCGTTGTTTAAAATTACAGGAAAAAAAATATTTTTTGGAAATAGATTTGTGTGTCTAGAACGGGATCTATCCTTTTTTATTCTTTCTATAATTAGTGTTGATATTGAAGTTTTATGTAAAATTTTACTAAATGACGTCTAGAGTTTAACCTCGCCAAAATTATCATCGATTGTCATTCCCCAAACGCCTATGACGTAGTTTTTTTACTTTTTTTTAAATCACATGTTATAACCTTCATAGTTTTTGAGCAACAGGATGATTTTGATAAATGCTTTTAACCGTCACTTGTATTCAGATATAAAAACTTATTGTAAATGTAAAAATATAATTCAGTGTAAATGTTTTTATCTTAAAAAAATATGTTCATATTTTTAAATTCTGATGATCTCTAATGGACAAACGAAGCACTTTTTTATAGAGGTAAATTGTGTGCAATTACCTTATTTTGATTGACAACCTATACATAAAATATATAAAATACACCTTCCGTTGATAACTGAAAAACATAATTTCATCTGAAAGAATTTTTTATAAAAATTCGCTTTTGCTTATAACTTTTTAAATATTTACAAAAATTTAATTGCTTTTTTTTTAAAAATGATTCCGTAGCTTAGTAACTAAGAGGGCTGGGATAATACATTTATCACAGTCCTCTTCCTCATATCTGTAATTTCATCAATAAGAAGCCAACTATTGCGAAAATCTCAACTTTTTCTCTATCTGCGTTCATAAGGTAGAAACTCCCTAAAGCATATAGAAAATGGTACACCCTGTACAGGTTAGCAATTTACTTTGTCCAATATTTAACAGGCTTAAATTAGCAGTGGTATAAACACTGGACTAAAAAAAAAATTTCTTTTTTAGGCCAAAAAATAAAGTTAAACCTTTTTAAAAGCGAAATGAAATAAAAGCTAACACTATACAGAGTGTCCCATTTTGGTAGCAAATGTGGAATTTTTCGCTTTATTAATAAAGATGGAGAACCTTGCGGTTTTCACGATCCTTACTACTTCTTTGTAAAATTTAATGTGCCAAACAAAATTCTCGCGGCCTACTTTGTTTTCCTGCTACAGGATGTTACTAAAAATGCAGTTTTTTTCTACCCTTCGTATCTCAGTTTTCTGACAAGAAGTTGAATTATTTCTTCTGGTAAGCACATACTCTAGCGGAAATCAAAACGGGGAGAAGAAACACACGAGATTAATTGGTATGAGCTGTAGTAAGGAGCTTGTGTGTCTGTTTTCGCTGTTCTGCTCTCCGCTCCTGTATATGCTTAGCTTTATACTTTATGTGGAATCCAGTGTTTTAGTTTTTTTCTTAATATTTCTATTTGTGAAATATCGACCATTGTTTAGTTTTTTTAATAGGACACTTCATGTGTATTTATCTAGAAATTAATTTGTCTTTTTACAAGCTTTCAAAAATTCATTTTAGATTAGCCTTTTATAAGGCCATGCACACAATGCTGCCCCTTGGCTGTCATTATATGATTATATGTTTTTTCTTTGTTTTCTTTACTGTATATTTTTGAACGGTGTTGATTAATCCATT